TCTTTGTTTGTTGAGAAATTGCTGAAAGATTAAGATGACTCTCCCCACTGCTTTCTAAAACCATAACTCTGGTTGCCGCGATTTTTCTCTAGTAATTCGGCACTAATTGTTGGAACTGTGTTTTATGTGGGACTTGGAGTCCCACATCGCCCAAACATTACTTGAACATCATCTTTATAAGTAAATGGACTCACTTATAGTTTGAATTGATTTGGGCCAAAGCCATGGACCTTGGGCTTTAGAATTGGAGAGTTTGGATGTATATATTAAATGTCAAAGATGGGCCTTGGGCCTCTTGGGCTCGGATGGACGAAAAACACAAGTTACGTTTTTGATTTTTTGGATTCAGTTTTTTCCGATTGAACAGTTACTGATTTTTTGGATTCAGTTTTTTCCGATTGAACAGTTACGTTCAGTTTTTATTGAACAGTTGCATTCGGTTTTCTTTTTACAAAAAACTGATAAGCCAAAACGGTTGGTGAAGTTCGAATGATGCCATTATATATATGGCAATAAAAATCAGAAACAAAAATCAAGTTTTTCCATATTCATTCCTCCATATTTCGCTGAGAACCACACAACCAATTCGCCAAGAATCCAAGTTCGAGTGCAAGAACTTGGATTAGATAGTTGTATCCTGCAAGATAGACGTCCATACGAACTACTGCACTGGTGTAGGGGCGTATTTCTGTCTTAGGAGATTGCTACTGCAAGCCTCTATCTTCATAACCAAGTTAGTGTTTTGTGATTCATTAATTCAGTTTTGCAATTGTTTAGATTGTGAGATATATAGATATACATATATATATATTGTTTCCTTGTGAAATTCCTATTCGAAATAAACTGTGCAATTGTTGTATATATATATATACTTAACGTTTGATTGGTTCTAACACTAATAGCCAACTCTTCTGCTTCTGAGGGGGAGTTAACACGTTGTAATCCAATTTTGTCACGAATGAAGGTCTGTAGTTTGTTGTGCAAGGGACTAAGTGAGACGATTTGTTGTAGCAAGGTTGAAAAACTTCTGCGAATACTCCTGCACAGTTCGACTCCCCTGTACACAACCATGGTATTTTTCAAACAACACCTGCTCATAATTCTAAGGAAAGAATCGAGCCCAAAGCATGCTCTGCATTTTGCGCCAAGTTTGGACACGATTATTTCCTTGCCGCACCCTGGATTCTTGCTGCTCATCCCACCAAATGACAGCGCTTCCCTTTAGCCTCCATGCCACAACTTTAACTTGTCTCGCTTCAGCTATCTTTGCATATTCAAAGAACTTCTCGCACTCCGCAAGCCAATCTAAGAACTCTTCTATAGATAAATTTCCATTGAAAGTGGAAATTTCAATTTTTTTTTTTTTTTGTTTTTTTGTTTCTTCTCGTGGGTTTTCAGGGATGGTAGGGATAACGTTATCTTCGGAATCTGAATCACCATTAGGGATAACTCTGACTTGCTCGTGTGCTATAACCAGTTCGCGAGCATGAACAACACGTTGAGTACCGCATACTGCCAGGCCTGCAATCATCTCTCTAATTTCAGTGAGAGAATTTTTCATTGTATGATTGATGCGACCCTCCATAGCCACAATCTCTCGACCCACGTCTGGGAAACTTGTGATATGAGGGTTGGTTCTTGCTTCGTCTTCAGTTATTGAATCGGAAAACCGGGCTCCGATGCCAACTGACACAGCGGAAGTTGTACGAAAAGGGATCACGAACGGTATCCCTTGAAAGAACTCTGGAATTCCATAACTTGTGAGAGAAACTCTCGTTTCTGAGTTTGTATTGATTCAAAAGTTGTCCATTACAAAGCAAATGAACATATTATAAAGACTTGAAAGACTTGTTTCAAGAAAATGAAAAGACAAGCAACAATAAATCCTCATTGATCAGGAAAGACCCTCTAAATGACTAGAGACGTTTCTAAACTGTTCGCATCATCAAGCAGTTTTTGTATTCCTACATCAAAAGCTCTGGGCGCCAAGGCCAAAAAGTTCTTTGGACATGATAAAATATGTATCACAAGGGATATAACTCAATTAGATAGAGCAACTTGTTTACACGCTCTAATGTTTTTCAGAGAAGTCTCCACCATGCGTGTGTGATATACAGCCTAACCCAGATTAAGGATATAGTTCTCTTCCTAATCTAGGTTAGGGTTCTAAACCGAAAGAAGTGGATTAAAGAGGACTACAATAAATCACAATAATATTTATGTCACATATATATTTTGTATTCTTTAATTTTTTTTATTATTGGAGAAGTATTTGAACTTGAAACTTCCTCAATAGCTTAAATGTTGAAAAATCCTTGGACATTTTCTAACTATTTAGAATTAATTTTGAGTTATATGCATCCATTGCTTGGTCCGAAGAATGAAAGATAAAAAAAAGTTGATCCTTCACAATAATCTTGTAGAATAAAATTTATATACAAATGACTTTAAATAAAACCTTTGACAACCACTAATATCTTATCAAAAAAAAAAAAAAAAAAAAAGATTAAACTTTACATGCATGCATGCCGTCCACCAAAAGAAAAAAAAATGATATTGCCATTGTTGAAATAATAAGGCTATTTCCAGCCAAGAGTTGTAGGCCACAAAGGGTTAAAGGGAATTAGGTTAAAAGAATCAAGCGAAGTTTGGCCTTAAGACAGGACAATTTAAATTTCGTCCAAAATGTAATAAAATATGAAGCAAAATATATTGCTGCATGGGTGGAGATGAAAAAAAAAATTCAGTTCTAAGGTAGTCTTTAAAATATTAATTATTAGAGAGCTAAAACATAGTCAAGGGCACGTTTAGCCCATTATGACTGGAGATGGTCTAACAAAAAAACTTTCGTCTCACATATTATATTTCTTTCTCTCTCATCTAATATTTTTTTTTTTTTTTAAAGATAATGAAAACTCGAACTATCGGTAGGTGGTGATAATTTACATATTAATTCTGAAACACGTAAACTAGTAACATTATAATACTATATTAACGTTGGGCAAAAGAAACTTCTCGCCAAATAAAATAAAAAAAATGTCATATAGAATACGAAGGATCCATTGACTATGAGCAAAAATCAAAGTAGAGATCGGAGATGTACGGTTGGTGGGAGTGCTAATGTCTGCTTTGGCGTTGGTATGGTAGGTTGGTCAAATACTCCTTACCAAAACCAATAGGCAAAGAGATGCTTAGTAGACTAATATTTTTTATTATACCTATAAATTATGTGATGTATTGTAAATAAAAGGTAATTTAGTCAGAGATCAATAAAAATTTTACTATTTAGAAATATATCAGTGCTATATTTTTGTTCTAAACTTAATCAATGATGTATTTTTATTAATTAAGCATAGATCAATGATAAATACTACATGGGTTAATATATCTCTCTGCACCAACCGTACACCACTAGACTTCCAAAACCTCTCAGAGGCCCCTTCCTCTCAAATTCCCAAAACCCAAAAGATTCAACCTTTCAACATTTGGAATTTGAAACCATAAAACTCCAAATCTCAAGAATCCGACCTGAATTACCCAAAAACCATGACCAAGACCGACACCCTTCGTCGATTTCTCCTCCCCTGCTTGTCCCCCTCCTCCACGAAATCCACCCACTCCGCCACCACCGCCCCCAAGAAATGCCTCAGCACCTCCTTGGGCGACAACCTGGACGACATCAATGTCGCCGCCGCCAAAAGCTTAGACCCCAAAACGACGGGTTTGATGTTTTCTTCTTTTGGGTTTGAAATTTTTTGCATTTTGATTAATTTGATAGGTTCTATCTCATTTTGTTCTATGATATGAAATTTATAATTTTTTTTTTTAAGAAGTAATTTTACGGGTCAAGAGAGACTCCATGAAATGTGGAAAAGATTACGGCAAGAAGAAGAGAACAAGGAAATGAACACTGCAATGCAGCGTCTGAATATAAATGTAAAAACAGAATGTAAAAACAGAACCAGAAAATGGACACTGCATTGCAGTGTCTAAATCAAAACATCAAAAAAATAAAAAATAAAAAAAATAAAAACAAAACCAGGAAATAGACACTACATTGTAGTGTTTGAATCAAAATGTTAAAAAAGAAAAACAGAATCAGGAATCGGACATTGCATTGCATTGTCTGAATCAAAATATAAAAAAGAAAAAAAAAAAGAATCAGGAAACAGACATTACGCTGTAGTTATTGAATCAAAATGTAATACAAGAAAAACAGGACAGGGAAACGAACACTACATTGTAGTGTCTGAATATAAACGTAAAAATAAATAGTTGCTTGAAGAATGAAGCATAGAAGGAGTGTGAGTGATGGGAAAAAATGGAATTAGGAAATGGACACTGCAATGCAGCATTTGAGAAATGGGATGTCAGTTGAAGTGGATGTCAGCTATAATGGTAGATTCTATAATTTTTGTTTATTTTAAATGTATTTAAGTGTCATAATACATGATTAACCTATTTATAATTAACATAAATATTGTTGATCTATTGTCAATATGGTAACTTTGAATTGATTTTATACAAAATCACCCATAAATAAAAGTAAGCACACTAATCAATATTCAAATATTTAATCATTAACGATCACTTCATGCAATTTACAAAATATAATTTACATAAATGTTCTCGTTAACATTATCCGTAGAGGCAATAGTAGCACCAATAGGATCTTCTCTAGATCCTTTTGGTGAGGATTTGTAAATCGTGTCCGTTTATTGTATATCGTGCGGTCAGTTTTTGTCAGGTACTGTTTGTGTTTAATTTTAAATAAAAATATTTAAAATAATTTATCCCGCATAACATATGATGTACAAACACAATTCACGAATATTTGAAATCTTCACAAAGATGATCCAACGGAGATCCGGATTCATATTACTCTTCATGGTAGCATAGCTCATTTCTTTTGCTTTTGGGGTTCTGATTTGTATGAGCGTCAAATGTTGTAATCACACGCCACTCTCTGTATGGCCTATATATATAATGTATATATAGATAAATGCATGCATTGACAGAAGAGAACAGAGCAGAGTCAGCAGACACAACGAACCGACCCAGGTCCTCCAGAGAGCCCCCAAACCCCAATCGCAGCCCCTCTATCTCCTCTCCCTCATTAGGCAAATTAGGCAATTGGGTCGGGTCCCACAGTCTGATGAGAGATTTCCAAATCCCTCAGAGACGAAGATCCACACATTCCAACATCAAACCCAGCCCTACGTATCCTTCTCCCATCCCCTGAAGCCTTTAGCCTCCTCCCCTTATACCTCCACTCCTCTATGTTTTTTCTGCTTCTCTGTCTTTGTTTCTGAACTCAATAGTTTGAATTTTTGTTAATTCTTTCATCTGGGTACCTCCGGATTATTGGTTTTTCTCTTTGGTACATCTGGGTAGCTCTGGTTTTGAGTATTTTATTGATTCGTCACTGCTTTTTTAAAAGGTTAGGTTTTTTTTTTTTTTTTCTTCATCTGGGCACCTTTGATTTCGATTGATTTCGCTGTGTGTTGCGGGGATTTGGAGGCCTCATTCGGGATCCGGGTCGGTGCTGTTTTTGGAATTGGAGGTCTGTCCATGGGCGCTTTGGATGAAGGGCATTTCTGCTCGGAGCTTGAGAACGGAGTGAAGCTGGGTTGCATAGAGCTGAGTTTCGAGGAAGAACCCGAAACCATAGCTATTGAGGATGCTGTTAAAGTTCTCATGCAGGGCCTGGGGGAGGATGTTAACAGAGAAGGTTTGAAGAAGACGCCTTTTCGCGTTGCGAAAGCCCTCCGGGAAGGAACAAGGGGTAATTACTTTCTTAACTCCGTTTTGCTTTTGTTTGACAAGACGATACTTTAAACTATTCTAATTTGCGGAGAGGGAAGTTTTTTCCCCATCTTGCGTTTGCTGATTTTGTTGTGTTATGTGGGCCATTTGGCAGCATTTTCTTTAATTTTTGTAGTACCTTTGAATTGTTGAGGCTTTTGGGTAGTTGGTTTTGGTTGTCAACAATTGAATAGTCATTGTTTAATAATTCGGAATTTCCCCAGTTGTGTTCCAAGTATCATGGACTCCCTATGGAAATTGTTAGCAATGATACAAAACGCTTCCTGCTCACAGCGGTCCTCTGCAACTTATCGACCTCGAAAACTCTGACCTCAGATTTCAGGATTGCAACTGTATGCATAATTTCCAGTGCACGATTTTCATTTTCTTTTGGAACTTCAAAAACTTACTTTTCTTTTGGAATGCTCACCGTGTGTGAATCCCCTTTTAATCGCCCCTTTTTCTGTAAACGCGTAAGTCTAAGTTTATTCATTATGGCTACCAAAATCATCTAGAATGGCTTCTGTCTCTAGGTTGCTAGGGGCGAGAAATTGTGCCCCAACTATTTTACGAGGCTAGGTTCTTCGTTGGCATATGTGTATGTGTGCGCGCGTGCGCGCGCATTATCTCTAAGTTAAGAAGTTTTTCCCAATTTCTGTTGCGGAATTGATTCTTTATGCAGCATGATTCGTTCACCTACTTTTAATATGACATGGATGATATTGGTGGTGCTGATTTCTTTTAAAATATTCACCTAAAAGTGAAGCTATCCCAAGCACTGATTTGGAAACTTTAATTATTTTCCAGGTTACAGACAAAAGGTTAAGGACATTGTGCAAGGTGCTTTATTTCCTGAAGCTGGCCTGGACAACACAGTTGGTCATGCTGGGGGAACTGGTGGACTTGTAGTCGTTCGAGATCTTGACCTCTTCTCATACTGTGAATCTTGTATGCTACCATTCCAGGTTAGATGCCATGTGGGTTATGTCCCTTCTGGTCAACGGGTTGTAGGCTTAAGCAAGCTGTCTCGAGTAGCTGATGTGTTTGCAAAACGTCTCCAAGATCCCCAGCGTCTAGCAGATGAAGTGTGTTCAGCTTTACAGCATGGAATCAAACCAGCAGGTGTTGCAGTCGTACTCCAATGTTTTCACGTCCATTTCCCAAATCTGGAATCTGTTTTCCTTGACTCGAACCACCAAGGATGGGTAGAATTACTGGTCAGCTCAGGTTCAGGAGTCTTTGAAAATGAAAATGCCAATCTTTGGGCTGACTTTTTGAGCCTGCTGAGATTCAGAGGCATAAATGTGGAGAAAACTCGCATGAGAGACACAAGCGATCACCATTGGTGTCCATCTCGATCTTCTGCAGGTGCAATTGCTACCTCTGAGATGGAATCTATCAATCCGGGAATGGTCACTGCAGTAGCTTCAATCCTTAGATCGTTGGGTGAAGATCCATTAAGGAAGGAGCTTCTGGGAACACCTGCTCGTTTTGTGAAGTGGTTGATGAGCTTCCAAAATAGTAACTTTGATCTGAAGCTGAATGGCTTCGTTTCTGGTAATGGAGATAGCTTGAAGGAAAAGCATATCCATTCTGAGCTGAACTTGTCATTCTGGTCTCAGTGTGAGCATCATCTACTTCCTTTCTATGGTGTTGTGCATATAGGATATATGTGCACAGAAGCATCCAAACCCATCGGAAAATCTCTTTTACAATCGATTGTGTGTTTTTACGGTTTCAAGCTCCAAGTACAAGAAAGACTCACGCGACAGATAGCAGAGACAGTATCACCACTGTTAGGTGGAGATGTGATTGTGGTTGTGGAGGCTAGCCACACCTGTATGATCTCTAGAGGGATCGAGAAGTTCGGAAGTAGTACGGCAACAATTGCTGTACTGGGTCGATTTTCAACTGACCCTGCTGCAAGAGCCAAGTTTATGCAGGGCATTCCAAACACTGCCGTTTCAGGACGATGATCCTAGTTCATCAACATATTTTATTAAGATATCCATTTTTCTCGAGCAATTTCTTTGCAAGGCATTCGGTTTAGCCATTGTACCCCAGCTTGACCGTGATAAGTCGAAAGATCAAGTAATCTCGGCAGTCTTGCCCATTTTTCGTGTTGTCGGAATTCAATAGATGACTCCAAAGTTTTGGTCTTTTATCTTCAACTATCTGTAGCATAAGCCCTTGCAAGTTTCCAAGCATGTCTTTGTTTCAACGACTTTATTTTCTCAGTGCTTTTTCTTTGTTCCTTTTCTGGAATACGAAGGAAGAAATACTGAAAACAAATAATGCGTTCGACAGTTTTTTCAGATTGATTCTATGTATTCACCAAGCAACAGGAAAACCATACTACTACTCGAGCGAATGTATTTTCAAGTATTTGAAGATCTTCGGAAAATACGCGTAAATAGAACTTTGAGTAATCTTCATCCAATTTAGCAGTTAATAAAACACGTTTTAGTGTCCGTTTTGTGCCCCTTTGTTCACTGCCGTATTCAAAACTCGAAACAGAGTTTGCACGGATCAAATGCAGAGAATGAACAACATTACCAACGAAGGCCTTCGCTTGAAGCGAAAAAGATTGAACGTGCATATACAAATTACAAAACCATATAAACATCAGCACTTAACAGGTGCATGTATACATCTTTCCGACCTGGAACAATGTGATTATACTATATAGGAGCGAGTTATAAGACATTGAAACAAAATAACTTAGTCATCTAACCACAAGTGTCGGATTTTACTCCATTCGATCCTGATCTTCTGATGAAGTTTCGTTCTGGTCTGATGAAGTTTCTTTTTAATCTTGAGAAGTTCTACTCTCGGCAAAGGGCCATTGTAAATATGCTCTTCCGCTGAAGGATCATGCTGAACATGCTCTTGGAGCGAAGGGGATGAAGGCGGTGAAGGGGATGAAATCGGTGAAGGGTTGTCGTGAATATGTGCTTGGGGTGAAGGACCATGGCTATGCTGGATATGTGCTTGGGGCGAAGGATCATGCTGAATATGCTCTTGGAGCAAAGCGGATGAAAGCGGTGAAGGGGGTGAAAGGGGTGAAGGGTTATCATGAATATGTGCTTGGGGTGAAGGGCCATGGCAATGCTGAATATGTGCTTGAGGTGAAGGATCATGCTGAATATACTCTTGAGGCAAAGTGGATGAAGATAGTGAAGGGAGTGAAGGATTATCGTGAATATGTGCTTGGGGTGAAGCGCCATGGCAATGCTGAATATGTGCTTGGGGCGAAGGATCATGCTGAATATGTTCTTGGAGCAAGGTGGATGAAGACGGTGAAGGGGGTGAAAGGTTATCGTGAATATGTGCTTGGGGTGAAGAGCCATGGCAATGCTGAATATGTGCTTCAGGCGAAGGGCAGTAGCCGTGCTGAGTATGCGCTTGCGGCAAAGGGCAGTAGCCGTACTGAATATGCGCTTGAGGCGAAGGGCCGTGCTGAATATCTGGAAGATGATTCATAGACCATATATTTGTGGCGATGCTGAGGAATATTAGCAGGAGCATACACGGTAACAGTGACAAAGTATCAACCTGCATGTAATAACCACAATAAGCAAACGAACAAGGTACTGGAAAGATACGGGGAAAATCATAACAAACAGATGACAAATTACATCAGTGTTCGTAAAAAGTACAGACCTTTCTTCTACGAGGAAGATTTTTCTCGGCATGCTCAAGCGAATAGCGTATCATGTCAACTATTGTCAACTCAGTTACCGGATCACTGCTTTCTACTAGCACAAAGAGAAACATTTAATTTTGTAAAAATTAATTAATATGCAAACCATAACGGAGAAGGGGATAACTTCAAGGGTCACCTGGGATGTCAAAAATTTGAGTTGTGGGAGGAATACCAAGCAGTTCTCCCAAATGGACACGAACACGAGCACGTTCATCAAGTGAAAGTAAATCACCATGTGTGACGACAAGAAGGGGTTTATCATCTGGAAGAAAAAATGGAGACGTAGTGACTAAACACCTTAAATTCAAGTTTCCAGCACTTCCCTTCCTTCAAAATATTGAAATGAAGATTGAGTCATAAAAACTCAACATCCAAATACCTTTAAATGCCAAGTATCCAGAGTTGAAAGCTGAGGCGATCATTTCGGTATATCGTGTCTCTGCATCTTCATCGCCTTCCATTGATTTCAGAACTGAGAGGCCATTAACAACAAATATGACAAAATTAACGCTCCTGATCTCACTGGACAGATAACCATCATCACGAGCTTTGTACATCATCGTATTCCTCAAACTTTGACTGTCTGAATCCCTGAGAGTCAATTGAGATCAATTGAAGTGAATGAAAGTAAACAAATTCATAAAGCCAAAATGAGAGGGCTGTACAGACTTGGAAATTCAGACCTCATAACAAGCTCCCCATTACGAACACCATTTTCCATCCAGTGCTTCAGTATTATTATGTTTTCGAGTGAATTATCGGACAAACTTCGGGTATCATAAAGGCAAAAAGAACTCGAACATCTTGGTATCATATATCCGTGGAGGAAAACAGTTCCTTCTCCAACAGATGAATTATCTGGCACAAATGAAACAATGCAGGTGAAGCTGTGGAACATAAATAACCAAGTTCATTCACAAATAAGCATCTTTCATGATTCAAAACTGAAGCCATACATGATACTTGGGCTCTTTCAGAGGCAAACTCGTCATCTTCAAACACTTTCGATATTCTATTTACAAGACTGCTCTTTCCAGATCCTTTTGGACCAACCAATAAAAGCGTTGTCGTCTTTGGCACATCATAATTCCTCGGCTTCACAGAACCTACTCTATCAATCCACGCACCTGGGCGGTAGCTGTAAAATTCATGAAGCCAAATCACTTCAAGCAAACATAAATAACCAATCTAGCGAATGTATACAATACAAAACCCTCAACACACAAGATATTCCTGAAATGATATCAAAGAAATGCCTTAATTTTCTGAGAATTCGAATTGATCTCAACGAGTTATTATTCCACTACACTGACCACAAATGACAAAAACCTTTTCTCCCCACGGCATTTCAAATAACTTGAATATAGCTTGGGAATAGTTCCGATATGTTAAATGTGTAAAATTTTCTATCCCACATAATTCTTAAATCGAAAGATCTTGTACTAAACAAATATTATACCTCAAGATTTTGCTTTTGGCTTCTTCCAAATCTTTGCTTCGAATCCGCAAGTCATCATAACCCTGCAAAATTTTCCTATAAACACTTTCCCTCCTCTGATCAGCTTCAAAATCCACAGAAGCAGAAGAATTTTGACTTCCCAATCCGCCAAAATTTCGAAAAACCGGCGCATTTTGTTGATCCAGCACAGCATCCTTGACACTAAGACCATCACTGCTCCATTGAAAACCATAAACCACTTTTAAAGTTAAACTTTGACAAACAGTACATGTATTTAATACAATCACGACGGTCAGATATAATTCGATAGTAATTGTATTAAATACGTGTAATACGAACAAAAAATTGAAACATGGGTTCCGAGGATGACGTCCTATAGTTCAAAACCAAATTTGATCATGCGTTTTTCATGATAGTTTCTCGGGAACCAAACAGGAAGCAAGAAACCGAGAAAACGAATGGGACTATGGGAATACATGAGGTACCTTAGAATTTGTGATGAAAGTTGGGAGGAGTCTTGGTCGAGTAAGAAGTCTTCTTCTTGCCCTGTATCTGTAATTTTACCATTACATAAATAGTCGGTTATTAACTTCATTTACCCAAATCACATGTCAGAAGGCTAGCTTATGGATCAGCTGATAATTTACCTCTGCCATCGCCACCCATGTCAGCACAGCTCACTGGGAGTTGCAGTCTTCAGACAGACAGAGATAAAGAGAGAGAGAGAATAACTAAATTCGCAGAATATCTTTTAGGAAGGATTGATTAGTAGTTAAGGAACCAGGTTGACGAAGACGACGCACCAGCCACGCGAAAAGGAGAAGATGCGCAAACTGTTGCCACCTGTCGGGCATCACCCATTAATTTATATTTTCTTTTTAATTTAATCCTTTTTTTTTTTTTTGATCATGTATTTAATCCCCGCGGCCAAGGCTCTCGCTAGTCGCTACACATTATAGCATTTCCCTCGCATTAACGAATTAATAATATGTAAAATCTTTTTATGATTTATTTTGATTAAGATTTTTTTCCTTCTTTGTAATTTCAATTTCATAAGATAACAAATTCTAATTTGAGCGGTGTTACTACTATTTGATCTAATTCACGTCTACTGTTGATTAAGTCGCATTCCTCCTTATTATAAAACAAAATAATCTTTCTTATTAATTTTCAGATGACATTCGAACTTCAGTTCAAAGGAGACAAAGTGGCAAGTAAGCAAACGTGTGATATCCCACATCGTCCAAGGGAGTGATATGTATATTCTCATCCCTACCTAGCACGAGGCATTTTGGGATCTCACTGGCTTCGAATTCCGTAAGAACTCCAAAGTTAAGCGAGAAGGGGGCTAAAGCAATCCCATGATGGGTGACCCACTAGAAAGTTGCTCGTGAGTTCCCAAAAACAAAATCGTGAGGCAATGGTAAGCCCAAAGTGGATAATATTGTGCTACCATGGTGAAGCGGGCCCGGGAAGTGATCCGCCCTGGGCTGAGATGTGACAAAACGTGTCTAAGAACTCGTTTGGAAATGCCATTAAAATGAGTGAAACTCTTTTTGGTAAAATGTTATAGAACCAATCCTCAACAAATATAGTGAATCATGAAAATGTACTTAAAGTGCTTTTGAAACTCAAAAATATTTTCTTTAAACACACTTTCAGTCATTTAAAAGTAGTTCCAAACGAGCCCTAATAATGTAGAATTCAAGGAATATCATCATCCCTACTTTCCATTATATCATAGTAAAATGTAGTAAAAAATTTGGCATGAGGGCAATGTGTTTCCACTTTCTGTGTACTATATGTTTAAAATCCAAGTCTCTCTAACCTAGCAAAAAATCTAAACCTAAGGCCATCTCCAACTGAAGGAGGGTCAGAGGGCTCGTTTTAACCCTTTGGTCTTCCAAGAAATTAATATTTTAACGAACAGTGCATGACCATATTTCTTACCATCTCCAACCGAGGGACCAGAGTGTCATAGGCAAAACATAGCCCTATGACAAAAAATCATCTCTAACCAAGGGCCAAAAGGCTATAGTATGAAATGTAAAGAATTGAAATAAAATGAGGTAAAATTGTATGGAATGGTGAAAAACATGTGAGAAATGATATAGGAAAAAAATTATAAATAAAAATAAATAAATAAATAATTGGGCTGGGCAAATCAAAAAAAAAAAAAAAAAAAAAAAAAATTGGGCTGGAGATGGCCAACCTATTGGCCTGATTGGCTGGTTTTGGCCCGATGTGGCCCACAAACCCTTTGACCTAGCCCTCAGTTGGAGACAGTTTTCATGTCATTTCAGGTTATTTTCGACCCTATAGCCCTCTGACCGGAGTGGTTGGAGATGGCCTAATTTCATCATCTCAAGACATTCAACTCGAGTCAACACATCCCTCAAACGTATATCTTCTTTTTTTTTTTTTTTGGAAGACAAAATAAATAACACCCAGGCAAAGATGCTGAAGAGAAACAGGAAGGCCTACAAAGAGGCAAACAGACAGTACTAGGAATGGGTAGTGCAAGGAGGTAACAGAAATTAAGACACCGCACTGAATGCTAAAGCGTCCCTCCTCACACTACCAACACAATTAATGAGGACATGGGAGACCATCATTACACAAAACATGAACAAGGGAAGATGGAGGTCTATTGACCCATATAAAATCATATGTTTCCCCATAATACCGCAAGCCAAAAGGTCTGCTGCCACATTGGCCGATCTTGGAGCCCAAGACCAGCTGCAATCTTGGAAACCACTCCCCAGAGTACTATATCTCACAATAACCGGGAATGCTTCCCAACTGCCTTTCCTTGTTATGTCCTTTAAACAAGAAATAAACTCCAACGAGTCAGATTACACCATTATCATATTCCATCTTCTGGCCATACCCAGCATACAACCATGCCAAATGGCTTTCGCCTCCATCATAGCTACACTAGTGGCTTTCTCCTTGTAACTGCATGCCGCCAAAAAACTGCCCTCCTCATTTCTAGCCACAGCTCCCGTATATCCCATCCCATCCGTTGCACACCAACTGGCATCAACGTTAATCTTCACAAAACCCGCAATCGGAGGAGACCAACCAACGCCAATGATATCATCCCGAAGATTGGTCACAAAAGAGTGTGGTTCAATTGCCAAGGCGTCCCTGAAAGTTGAGGTCGAGTGAGTGATGGCTGCAATCACCTGTGATGGGTAGATAGGTTGTTGATTGAACAGGAAGTTGCATCTTGCCTTCCATATATGCCAGTATGTAATGGCAATATAAAACATCATGTGGTTCCGCAACTCCTTCGAGCCATTGACTGATTCATACATATGCATCAGCCATCTTGCCCAGGAAGTAATCACAAACCGATTCAATCTAATATTCAGACTTCCCCTAAACCAAATCAATTGCACCCATGAGCATTCAAGAAATAAGCGTTCAATGAATTCGTCTCAAACCTGGCATATAGGACACCTAGCAGAAGCGGAAGAGTTCCGATGGTGTAAGCTTGCCATGGTAGCAAGTGCCATATGCAGGGACTTCCACAGAAAACACCAAATTTTTGGAGGAACATTCAAGTGCCAAACACACTTCCACACAACTCCAGGAACGAAATCCAACCAATGAAAAGTGGGGCTTGTTAGTGATTGAACACAATTGTGAGCCCAACGGTATCCAGATTTAACAGTAAACATCCCATTCTTCTCAAATAGCCACACCAATCTATCCCTAAGAGTTGGATCTCCAATTTGAGTCTCCAGGATAGCATCCAACTCCTCCACAACCAAGAAAGGTTTCAAAAAGTAGATGTTCCACTCCCCATTCTTCGAGTCAATTAACGATCTCACCATAAGGTTTGAGGAGACTTGCACCGTGCCAAAGGGAGATGGTCTGCCCACTGGATGGTCAGGAGCCATCTGTCACCATAACATATATCTTCTTATGAGGTACAACGAGCAGACCAAAAGACCCCTTCCCTTGCTAACATAACAAAGCCCTGAATAATATGCAGAAACACGTGAATAGCGTACGTTATGACACGATTCTATATAAATCTTTTCAGTTAAAGAAATCAAAGAAGAAGAGTTGCACCATCATACAATTCACATACCTGAATAAGTCTACTGCAGATGTAGAAAAATGATGCAGTAACAAGCTCCGCTTCCTCCTCCTTCCCTTAAGAGCGAAAACATCAGCAGAGTCGATTTGCATAGCTTCTGCCCACACTTCGGGAATGCTTTCAACCTCGGGTGCACCCACTTTGGGCTTCCTTTGACTCTCAGCCATTCCTACTGAACAACCATTCCTGATCATCAAAATCAGACTCGTCTTTTATCTCGGGGATGGAAAGTATCTCACTCAGATAATTGGAACCGAGATGTGGTGGTTTTGTAGATGCTCTACCGTTCTCTTTAACTTTTTAACACTAGAAGATGATGGTTTTGTAGCTTGCACTAGTTTGTTCGGACACTCTCAAAACGTTAATTATGGCTCCCTTGATGTCTACTTACAATTGTTGGTTGGCCCCTCCTCTGATAAAAACTCGGGAACAATTTGGCTTGCTTCAAATTTCCTTCCAATTTCGATTTGACTAACAGATAACCGGATAACAACCAATTTGTTAACTAATTAACTTAAAATCTGTTAATTTTTTATGTCGTTTTATGTCAGGTTAATAAATCGTCGCCTTAGTATAAATTGTATTGATTTTATCTCAAACTCATGACCAAATATTTAGTTGATTTTAACTTTAAAAGAAGAAAACAAAAAAAAATTCAAACCAATGGTTAACTGTTTGGTTCAATTGGTTTAGGTTGTTTGGGCTTCCATTTAGTTTTTAAAAACAGAATTTACCAGATAATGGGCACCTCTATTTGAAAGTGGCTGCCTGTTGTTGTGTGTATCCTATTTATATTATCTTGTGTATTGACAAAACCTTCCTTTTCCAATGTTCCAAATATATATTGGAAATTAAAAAGATACATGATTTAATTTCTTCAATATAACAAAAAATAAAATAAATGAACATACATCATAGATGCTTAATATAAGATAATATTTAATGTCAGATCATTATATTATACACCTTGAAAAATTTCTTAATTTTTCTAGTTTGAGTTTATAGTATATAATTTTAATAAATACATCGTCAATGCATATTATAATCATCCTAAAACATTTTCCAACTTCTCTCGAGTTTAGAGTTCAGATTTGAGGTGTTAAAATTGTTTCGATGAGATTTTTTTTTATGTGCAAAACTTTTCAAGTGCACTAATACATTTCCCTGGTCATCATTATCGGCATGAACTCGGAACCCAAGCCGCAACTTTCCCAACTTCTCAGCCCCGTCTGATCCGATCCGCGTCGGATCGTCCAATTTCCGTGCTGGGTTTTCGGTATTGTTTCTACTTCAGTTATTAAAACTGAAAAGGCTAAATGTGCACCGAAGAATTCAAGTTGATAAAAACGTAATACTATGCATTGTGCTGGGACGGAAGCACTATAAGGCCACTATAGGCCAAGGCCTACCCTCACATTTTAAGGCTTTCTAAATATTTAGTATTATAATTTATTTATTTATTTTGTATTATACTTCTTTTAGTCTACACAAAACTTTTAAATTTTATTCACAAATAATTAAACAAGAGGTCTCTTTTTCTTTGAAACTCCCAACAACACTCATTCAAAAACTAAATTTAACATCTTATTTTATAAACAAATCAATAACTAGTAGATTTAAAATCTAAAATCTAGTTAAGTTTTATGAAATAAAATTCTTTTATATTGCCAACCGAAGAATAATAAGCCATGAGCTTCTCCTCCTCCCTTTCTTGAAGTGTGTCACATCCCAGCCTAGACCCCTACCACATCCCGAGCTCGACTCTACCGTAGCACGATATTATCCGCTTTGGGCCCCTACCACACACTCACGGTTTTGTTTCTGGGAACTCCCACGAGAACTTTCCAATGGGTCACCCATCCTGGGATTGCTCTCGCGCGAACTCGCTTTACTTCGGAATTCCAATGGAATCCGAAGCCAGTGAGCTCCCAAAAGGGCTCGTGCTAGGTAGAGATGAGAATATACATATAGGGGGCGTTTGTTTGCCCTCACTAAGTTGGACTGGACTGGACTGGACTAGCTATTAGTCCAATACTGTGTTTGTTCCATGCTGGGACTAACATTAATGAGACTAAAGGGGATTAGCATGGACAAAACCCTTCACTAAGAGGTCTTAGCGAGACCCCCCAATAACCATGGGACTAGCTAAGACTATCCATCTTTCTCGTCCTCGTCATGCTCAATGACCACTCTTGACAGACTCCTCGTCATCTCCGATCACCTAGATCAATTATTAACTTTCCGACTCTCTTTCAGATCCATTTCACAACCAACTTTCATACAAAATATACCAAATTGAAGCTAGGAGTGATAAGATTACAATTTTACCTAAATCGAGGCCAAAATGTGGTCGAATGTGGCTGGAAAATGGCCTGGAAGTCTCGGCCTGTTTGGGCTTCTTCAAATCCATGACAGATTCGAGCATTCAAAGCTAAGATCTCGGTCCAGAGATGGTGATGAATTTTTTGGCGGTGCTAACTTCATCCAATTTAACGAGGAAATGGTAGGAAAAAATGAAGAAAAAGATAAGATCATAATAAAATATTAATAATTTATATATTAAATAATATAATATTATAATTTGTTATTATCCAGCTTCTTAGTCCAATACTGCACCAAACGCTTAACTAAGTTAGTCCAGTTTAGTCTAGTCTAAGCCAGTCCAGCTTAGTCCTTGAAGCTAATCCAGTCCGAGATAGTCCGGCGCAACAAACGCCCCCATAAGGTTTACAGGATCCACTCCCCTGGGCGATGTGGGATGTTACAATTCACCCCCCCTTAGGGGTCTGACGTCCTTGTCGGCACACTTTCGACTAGAGATTGGCTCTGATACCAAATTGTCACATCCCGGACTGAGCCCCCACCACATCCCAGGCTTGACTCTACCGTAAGCACGATATTGTCCGCTTTGAGCCCCTACCATACCTTCACGGTTTTGTTTCTAGGAACTCCCACGAGAACTTCCCAGTGGGTCACCCATCTTAGGATTGCTCTCGAGCGAACTCGCTTAACTTTGGAGTTCCAATGGAACCCGAAACCAGTGAGCTCCCAAAAAGCCTCGTGTTAGGTAGAGATGGGAATATACATATAAGGCTTACAGGATCCACTCCCCTAGGCGATGTGGGATGTTACATGAAGTTTCATATATTTTGTCCTCCAAATTCTCAATCCATTCTTCTCATTTTTTGTCTGAAAATTCTCAATTTATTCTATATTAACTTGGGTTGATGCTAGAGAGACTATCTACATATTTTGAGACCACGTGATGATATAACGGTTAATGGTTGGACTACTTCTTTAAATCATTAAAGAAGAAATCTAATCATCAACTGTCACATTATGTGGTCTCCAAAATATGGTCTAAAACATTTTTCTCTAGCATTTTTCATTGAGTTGATATTGAAGGTTAATTTCTCTTAATTTTCTTTAATTTTGATTAACTACTCCCTATATTGACTTGATATTGGAAGGTTAATCTCAACATGAAAAAATGCATTTAGCATCTCGTAAAATTAAATTAGCCCACAACTCCAAGCATGTATTGTGCTCTCTTGTAAATCTTATCTATTTTTTTTTAATATTGATTTGAGGTCCTTTCTAATGTAAAATTCTGATTCCACCATTGCATGGTGTATAATACAAGCGTCGGAGGATGTCTTGATGCGATGCATTTGGGTCGAGAACAAAAGCACGCGTGGTGTCCGCCCATTCGCAGTATTTACGCCAAGCCTTTCCATTGCCTATCCACTCCCTGTCGCAATCTAAACGTCTGTCCACTTAAATTAAACATCCCCACATTCCCCTTCCCCTTCCATGCCACAACCACACCTATTAAAGGAAAACTCTTATGTTTGGAAGAGATCTTAAGTTCGCGTCACCCGCCCGCTCTTACACGCGTTGGTGAAAGAAAGTCACTTTGTTTAGTCAATCAAATGGTGTGGTTGCATCTGTTAACAGTCGGAAAAAGTTGATTAGCAACACTGTTTGAGCTTCAATTATGCACGAGTTAAGGTGTCAAGTGAGATCGCTAAGAGTTTGTCACTGAAGACAATGACAACATAATCTGATCTCAGACGCTAAATCGTCAACCATCATATAATCCAGGGACGAGAATCAGCATAGATCATAACCGAAAAACGCATATCCGAGTAAAAATTCAACTAAGAAGCACACGGGAAGGAGAATGCAAGTGCTTGGAAAATATATTGAAGATTGGCTTTACAATATTGAAGAATGAGAGTAAGAAAATTCTGAATACACTCAACATGTTCATAGTACAATGACAGACTATGACAGATCTCAATAAAACTATATTATCATGTGTAATAAATTACAGCCCACGTCATTCGTTCCAATAGAAGTGTATCATCTCACTTAGAGGCAATGGCTTTGTGGGAAGGGAGGGGACACGGTCAAAAATCGACCATCTAAGTTGTTTGGCTGCAAGGATGGGATGGAGTAACCAGCCGATTGTGGAACTCTGACTGTTGGATGTTGAATTGAACTGCGATAAAGGGATGGGAAATTACAGATATCATGTTAGTCAATATGTTCCTGTGAATAAAACTCGCACACGTAAATTCCAACCACAAGACAACTATTATATATCATGCACAGCTTCTTGGTCTGTCGAAGTACAATCATAGCCCATAAGAGAGATACGGTCACCACAGCCATAATTATTAAAGCAGAAATGAAACATAATTTTGTCCACCGTCACCACATACACTGTCTATACGATGAGCAGATTAAACATATTACTATATAGGCACGTGAACTGACCTGAATGATAAAGAAAAGGAAGGCTCTACTGGGGCACAAATTCCACCTTGATCCGGGGGCATAAGAGACCAAAAAACTGGGGAAAAGTTGCAACAGCACATCAGTTTCAAGAAAAGAGAAGCTAATAAGAGAAGGTAAATAGTTTTTTCTTGTCTTAATCCACATTTTTCTCCCTGATTAAGGTAGGCCTTCTAATCTGAAATGATGATATTAGAGAAAGATCCAAATAATTACCAGATCGTCCAGAATGATCTTCCAAACCAGAACAAAATAATGCATCCTGCAAAATGAATAACATAATTCAAAACAACGGTAAAATATCTAGCATTTGAGTTCTAATGCTATGAGAAGCCACAAAAGTACTGGTGAAAGAAGCCCGTGCACTCACCTCTTTCATATGATGAGGTGCATCATGGCCCACATCTGCAGGGAACAATTGCATAGTAAGATGAGTATAGCCCTCCAAAAAGATACATAAAGAATACTCTAATTATGAAATAAAGAGGAGAAGAATGGAATCATCTCCAGTCAAACACAAATCATTTTAAACTTGAAATTCCATATCATGAAATCTAAATAATGATGCATGGCAGCATGGGAGACAAAAGAATGTGCTATGTAAATGAAGCGAATCATGTGCTACGAGAAGATAATGTCCAGAGGACGAAATAAAGTAGGTTCCACTATTCTGGGGTACCCTGAACCTAACTGGATGAGAAAAGCCAAAACAGAAGCTAGCATGCAAAGCACCGTTCTGGGCCACCCTGAACCCAACTGGATGAGAAAAAGCTAAAACAGAAGCTAGCATGCAAAGCACACATTGCAATAAAACCAAAAACTTTTTTGCCAATAATTTGTTTTAAATTTCCCGTTTCCATCCCAATCCATGCCTTAAATACTGAGACCACAGGGACAATGATAATTACCGAAGTCTGGAACACTGGGCTTCACAGCTAACGTCAAGCCAAGAAAGCAGTCCTCAGGTTCAGCACCAAAATCGGATAGTTTCAACTCAAGTGTTGGCTTTGCCCCTGTGAAATAAGGCAGAGAAAAAAAAAAAGATCCATTGAAAAAGATAATAAAATGAAAAATATTATTATTGGACATGAATAAGGGAGGTAGGTACGCAAGAAAGAAAGGGGAAAGGGAAACCTTACCCATGTTACTCAGCTTCAGGTCAAGTGAATCAGGGAGTGAATGAGGAATCCAGCCCACCTATTAGGAAGTTGATCACGTTTATAACATAGAACAGCGTAGAAGAGAAGAAAACTTGAGAACACATATTACCTGGAAAAAAGGATGTTGTAATGATTCATCTGCAGTTGGCCTCCTTGATGGATCCCATGAACATAGTTGCTGCAGAGAGTCAAGAATGCAAGTTAATAAAGCATTAAACAGATAGTTATAGTAATTACTGATGGGTGAAAACTGTATAAAAAATTCTCACCGAGATCAAATCAACAGCTTCTGGGCTTGCATTTGGAATGATATCGGAGAGGTTTGCAGGCAAGATCTATTAAAAAAATAATATGGCGAGTGAAAGCCGAGCAATATGAATTGATAGTAACAGATCTATGCAAAAGTTTACCTTCTCAGAATTGATAAAGCTATATAATCGAGAGGCATTTGTCCCTTCAGGAAAGACAGTCAAGTCTGGAGTACCAAGCACACAGCAGATCTTGAAGAATTGGTCTATCTCACTGGCCATTGAAGAAACTAGTTTTGTAAGATGTACAGAAGAAGTTCTTCAACATATTAGAGTTACTAAAAATGAAAAACTTAGCACACATCTATAATGCACTTATTTTTTAAGTACATCACACAACAGGTAGAAATAAATGGACTTACTTAGAGGTAACTTCTAATGAATCGTTTTTACGCAAATTTTTCTCACCATGACCAAAAACAACAAATATCGAATAAAATAACCACCTTTCACCAGGGAAAATTGGGGATAAAGTGAAAAGCTCAGCTAGGATTGCACCAGTTGCCCACATGTCTGCATATGTTTTCATTTGTTAATCACCAAAGAAGCACAAAGAAATAGTCAACCTCATGCTCTCATGCAGCCTAATCATAGATATACAACACCAGTATAACCCTCAATTAAAACTTTTTCACACAGAAATTACAGAACTTCTGGGCGAGGAGCTGTTCAATTCATCCTATTGCCAATCATATTGAACAGGAGTTCAATGAATAGGTAAGAAAGACCATGCTTACCAACTGCAGGAGTGTATAATTTGGACTGCAGCAAGACTTCTGGTGCTCGATACCTAGGACGCCAAACAAGCACCATAAAATTTAAAAGATTAGAGTGCATGCAAAGACATTAGCACACAATAAGATAACACAACTCGACATTAACTCCCCCCCCCCCCCCCCCTTCTCTTTTTTCTCTCCAAAACCATACACTCAGAAATGCGAAAAATAAAATACGATGGTTGAAGATGACTAACTCACCAGCGTGTGGAAACATATTCAGTGTAAGGAGGCATTGATGATACTTCTCGAGCCAAACCAAAATCGGCAATTTTAAGAACGTCGTTTGTCACCAACAAATTCTCTTCAGGGGAAACAATTGTGTTCGATTAATTTCTTAAGAAACAAATATACAGAGATGCATGGGAACACAATATTGCCAATATGTTTTACCCGGCTTTAGATCTCGGTGAAAATATCCACTTTTATGTAGGTGACTAAGTCCATGCAGCAGTTGAGACATAAAGCTACGAATCTCATCCTCCAAAAAGGGTCTTCCTTGTTCTTTCATTATTTGGTACAAATTATAGTTCTGGAAACATGAACTTTTGAAATCAAAACATCTTCCATGATGAGATTAACTTGACCAACTGGGGTTCATCAACTTTAAATTAAGAGCATGATATCATTTTGTGTGAGATATAAGATATAAAATAAACAAAATTAATCACAGATTAATGAGAAGGCAGAAGGTCTCTCACCATGTATTCAAAAATGAGGAACACCTCATTATTTTCCCGGACAACCTCCTTTAACTTTATGATATTTGGATGATACAATTTACGAAGGACCTGGGAAAAAAGAATTTGACTTGTATCAATGGTAACAATCAGATGACATTATCTATTTCATTTAGCAATATGCAAAAGGTAAAAGCTCAAATTTATGCATATGGCACAACAATATTGAACAGTTAAAGTTACCACAGGACATACCTTAATCTCTCGTAACCTCCAGTATTCCTCCCAGAAAAAGAACTTCCTCTTCATCTTCTTGACAGCAACCTGAGGTTAGAAAGGTAAAATAAAACTAGGAAGGACTGTTCTCCTAACTAATTCACTCAGATAATAGAGACAACAATAAATATTAATTGCGTCTTCTCCCTCAATACTTGTTTAAACCACAAGATCGATAAAATCAAAAGCATATGATCAAAGTTCACAAGGGTTAAATGCAAAAACAAATAAATTCACAGGTAAAAATCAAACAAATATTAAAAGAAGTAATCATTTCTTTAGTAAGAAGAACCATACAATCTCATTTGTTCTCCAATCACGAGCCTTATATACACAACCACAAGTGCCATCACCAAGCTCTTCCAAAATTTTATATCTGGAAAAAGAATTCAAATAAACAAAAAACTATAAGAATAAAAGAAATGAAAACCTTTTGATTTTAGACGATTCAATGCACTAAAAAGCAACTAACCTTTCCATTTTCAAATGTGAACAGTATACAGTCAAACAATCGTTCAGTGGAATTTAAACAACCTCCAAAAAGAGGTGCCTTCACTGACAACACAGTTTTGGTCACTGGTTTGTAGGCATTGTATAGGGCTTAAGTCTAGCATCAAGCATTTGGCTTCCTTAAGCATCCACTTGTCATTGTAGGAGCGTTTCACAATCGGGAAGAAGTTTATAAACATTTTGCAACCCTCCACTTGAACTCCAGGGACCAAGCATTAAACTCAGCCGAAGAGCGTTAATCCATTTTCTTTACACCTACTAACTTATAGCCTCATATAAAAAACTGGGGCAATTGAGCTGCAGTAGATGGCAAAGTAAGAATTTAATTCCACTTTAACAAACCCAACCATTCTACATCAAACAAAGATCATGTCTTTTAATAGCTACGAGCCTACAAATCACTGTTTGCCTTCTTGGTCAACACAAACAAAGCACGCAGAAAGAAAAACGGAACGGAATAAAAAACTATACAACATTTTGGTTTCCCAAGTTTAAACATCTTAAGTTCGTTAGAATTGCAAGATCAAAGCCTATTCCTTTCGTTATTTCAATCTTACAATGAACTCTACATCAAGTCAAAATTTTGATGCCTTCCCCGTCCTATACCTTGTTCAAAGATCAAAGTTCAAACAACGAAATTTTCGAACATAACAAATCTACTAAATCCATATCCCCTCCCCTCCTATCAATTCAAATCCTAAACATGAAACAACAAACTAAATTTAGAAAACAAATCCAAATACACTAAAAAGATTCAAACTTTACAATATCACCATATACAAAATTTAAAATATCACCATTCAATTTGGTCCTATTTGATTAAAACCCAACAATCAACTTCACTAATCCAACCCTTGTTAGATATATTGGTACAAAACCATCAAAGAGTAGAAACCCAGAATTCAATTTTCTTTCTTCTGCTTTTCCTGATTTTCTTAGCAACCAAACAGGCCCGAAACGAAAACCTCAAGTGTATTTCAATTTGCAAACAGCTAAAAAAAAACAATCCAAAAAGTCATAAACTCGCAAAAAATAATAAAAGAAAAATTGAAGGATGAACTTACAAATTTACAATTGATGCTAATAAATTGAGACAACCAGAGAAACAATTAGGCGAGAAGGATAAACAGATCAACAATGCACAAACAGTTTTCCTGGGAAAATTAAGAGAGGAAATTTCGTAGACAAAATTTTCGTTTGAGAGGAGAGGAAACTTGTGAAAGAGAGAAAAATTGGATTGCTGGTGAAGCCTTGTGAGGGAGAAGGATTCCGCATAAGAAGCAAAGGAAGAAGAAACCAAGCAAAATTTTTTATTAAAAATCGAAATATTATTAATTAATTCTAATGATTTTATCAGTTCGTTATATAATTATAATTATAATAAAAATAATTATATATAAAGCCAACTGCCTAATGAACAATATTTTTTGGTGTCACAAGCTTCACCAAAAAAATTAAACAAAAATGCCCTTCGAACAAAAAAAAACTTCAAAAGCAACTCAAAATAATGCATCAAATGTGATAAGGTTTTTTTGTCATTTTAACAAAAAAATTTTAAATAATTCCTAACAATATGCTATCAATAATGTGATTCAATCAGTTGTTTATTAAATATTATTTTTCTATTTTTAAATACGTTTAAAACATTTTAAAGAAGCGTGTAATGCCAGTTATAAAAAAGGTGTTTCGCACGATGATAATAATGTAATTCAATAGAAACTAATTTTATTATATAAATTCAACTATTTTAATTGGTTTATAAGAGACTTCTTCTAACATGATCTAAAATTATTCATTTATTTCAAATATTTAACTTTTCTTTTGTCAATTTACACATATAAATATATTTAAAACGTATAAATTATACGTAACACATCGTGATTTAAAAAATATGTTCTGATCGCGTCTACGAAGGCTAGTATAATTAAAAATAATACTAGAAAGAGTAATGCTTTTGGTTGTGGTGGGGAAGAATAGTGCTCCTGGTGGTCCCACGGCTTATTCATTAGTTAGGGACTATATTGTCCCAATTTTTTTTTTTTTTGTTGGATTTAATTTTTAATTCTTAATTTATTATAATGTAGATTACCTTTTCCGAGATCTTGTGTTTGCATCTCCCTTTTCGTTGTTTAAATGAATTTAGTATAGATTACATATCGTTTGTAAAAAAAAAAAGTCTTATATAAGATGGTCAGAAATTTTACAAAGTTAGTACTGAATTTTGCTTTCCTTGCTAATAAAGAAAACTAATTTCGTATATTTCTCATCCATAGCTAAAGAGCACCACTGTACAAAACAATTGAAAATCTGGTCTCTTTTTTATGGAGATTCTAATACATAACCATCGTATATCACCCTATTAATATCTCTCATCACGTGACATAGCTAGCCCGCTTGTACCCAAGAGAGTTAGATAATTGGCCTCTCTGTGCAACCCATTTGCTCAATTAGTTTGAGAATGTGAAGGCAATCCTCAGGTTCCTCTTTCTTTACTAGGATCTCCAAATATGGCAAAACTGAGGACTTTTCCTTGATATCATTGTGTCTTAATAGTTCAGAGAAAAGTTCTTCACCTTGTTCAGCCCTCCCTTCACTGTAAAGTCCCTGAATCACCGAACAATATGATAACACGGATGGAACAAACCCTTGATTCAGAATTGTTGTCATGAAATCGAGGCAATGATCATATCGGCGCTCATTGCAATAACTGTTGATGAGTGCACAAACAGCCTTCTCAGGAAACACGCCGCATTTTAGTACATTGTTAATGATATGATCTGCTTCTGCAACCCTTGCTTCCCTGCATAATCCCATGACAACAAAGTTGTACAAATCCATTGTAGAGCAGCCACATTTTCTGACCTTTTCTTCAAGACTGAAAGCATGTTCAATATCCATATTTCTAAAAGCGTAGCTAGAAATGCAATTGTCGTCAATGTCCTTCGGAAGTAATGGTGTAGCATAAGTGGAAGACATAAATGAACTGGCATCTTCCTTGGCCTCGTTTGACAAAACAAGACCTGCAAGAAGCGCAGAATAGATTCGAGGGTTTGGCTGAAAACCTTTTTGAACCATAACACTCAAAATCTCAAAGGCATGATCCAACCTACCAGCATTAACAAGACCTTTAACTAATACAGTATATGTAACGTGGTTTGGAGGTATACCGAAATCAGACATGCTAAAGAGAAGCTTTTCTGCTTCCTCCACTCTTCCGTTCAGGCAGAGACCATTGATCACGACTGTGTAGGTGTAGACATTTGGAGGGCGGCTAGTTCGCCTCATCAAATCCAACATTTTTAGTGCACACATAATATCACCTGTTTGGCAAAGCCCATCAACTAATATTGTATAAGTCACTACAGATGGAACTGATCCATACTTCAGCATCTTCCCCAACATTGCCTGTGCCGCATGCACCTTATCATCTTTGCTGAGGACATCAAGAAAAGAATTGAAAGTGTGTGGTGTTGTCAATGTCTTCTTCTCCACCATTTTCTCAAAAAGCATCGATGCATTTCCAATTTCGTCATTCTTGCAATACCCGTCAATAAGAGCTGTCATAGTTACTTCATCAGGGGAAATTCCCTTCTTTACCATTAAACCTAAAATGCTGCTTGCATGCCCTGGTCTCCCTTGCTTAAAGAGGCCATCAATCAAGGCCGTGAAAGAAAAACAATCTGGTTCAATACCGAACGAGCTCATTGACTTAAACGTTTCAAAAGCCAATCCAAGTTGACCTTCTTTGCAAAACCCATCGATCAAAATATTGTAGGTAACCCTATTTGGTAACAAACCATTATCAACTATTCTTTTCAAAAGAAACATGGCTTTGTAAGTTTTATAAACCTTGCATAGCCCTTCGATGAGCTCATTGTAGGTCCGAATGTTAGGCTTACATAGTCTTTTCTCCATCACACCAAGGAGCTCAAAAGCAGAAATTACGCGTCCTTCTTTGCAATATCCATTTATCAGTGCATTGTAAGTTACTGTGCCAGGAAAAAGCTCATCTGCAAGCATCTTTCTGAACATTCCATTCGCCTCCTCAATCTTTCCTTCCCTGCATAATCTATCAATCAATATGGTGTAAGTATGAACATTCGGTTTACAACCCTTTGTAACCATCTCATCAAGCAACCCTAAAGCCTTATCAGTCGACCCAATGTCACACAAAGCCTTGATGAGTACAGTAAACGTACGACTACTCGGCAGGCAACCCTTCTCACTCATCTCTTCTTTCAGACGAAAAGCTTCATCAAGCTTATCAATTTCACAGTAACCATGAACCAAAATCGAGTACGTCACCGAATTAGGCTCACAACCATGACTCTTAGACATTATATCGAACACCCGGGAGGCCTCCTGGAGATGACTCTCTCTACAATTACCCAACACCAAAGAAGTACAAATATGAGTGTCCAACCGAAACCCGAGTTTCAAAACCCTACACACAAACATTTCAGCAGATTGCACAAACCCATTTTTGCATAGAGCATTAATTACACTTCTGTAGTCAATAACACCAAGAAGAAACCCATCACTAACCATCTTTTTATACACCAAAAAAGTCAAAAACCCCAAATCCAACCTAGCTAAAGACATCAAAAGGCTACTATAACAAGGATAACTCAACCAAAATCCAACCTTTCGCATATTCTCAAACGCCCCCATCAGCCTCGTAATCTCTGGCTCACTATTGTTTAACTCCTTGATTAACAAAACAATGGCTTTCTGAGCAATCCCATATAAACTTTCACAAGTAACCAACAAATTCAACAGAGCGATTCTGCTATCCAAATCATAACAATAAGTAGAATGCTTACAAACCCACTTGAAAAAGCGAACCCCGAGTTCGGTGTCGCCGCCATGGAGCTGTAAAACCTTGGCGGCTACTTGTGGTGCCATGTGGGAGACCATAGACTTGAGAAGACTGCTCCTTTCCCAATTGGGTTGCTGAATCAGAGACGATACGCGGGAAGTCGTGTCAACTGAGCTTTCTGGGGCTGCTCGGCTACCGGAAGATTGGTATGCGACGGAGGAAAGCGTCGGAGGAAGTTCGAACAAACAGGGAGCTCTCAGAAGGACGTTTCGGACATTGTATGTGCGAACCAACATGCAGAGAGAGAGAGTGAGAAGTGAGGAGTGAGAGAGATGAGAATCAAATATTTTGCATTTTGCAAACTGAAAAAAAGGGATGTTTTGGAGGGCTGTCTTCGATTAATTTTTGAAATAAAAGAATTTGATTTTCTTTTGTTTTTGTTTTTATTTCTGCCTTTGAAAACCCTTTAGCTTGGGGAAGAAGAACATCTTGATCCTTGGGCAATGGGCACAGTTTTCTTTCTAATGGGCTTGGTAAAATATGAGTCCTAGACTGAACTCGGGCCATGGTGGTTTCCAATCATGTTATGATATTATTAGGGGTGGAAAAAAAATACCGAAAATTCTAAACCAAATTGAAAAAAATCCCGAAATCAAACCAAAAAAAATCTCAAACCAAAAATCTCAAAAATTTTGGTACGGGAATCAGTCTCACATTTTCATTCGTTCGGTAATCCTAAATAGAACCGAAATAAAAAAAAATGTATATTATTTAATTTTAAATATATTTTGTAATTGTAACAATCGTCGGATTTGGTCGAGACGTAATCTCAACCATTGAATCCAAATAAAACCGTCACTCAGTCACTCTCTCTCGATCTCACCTCACCATGTTACCTCATCCTCCCTGATTTCTCTTAATCTCTGTCCTCTTCCTTATTTGCCGTCTTCGAATCCGGCCACATCACACAAGTGACTCACCTCTCTTTCGACTGACCTCTCTAATCTCTCTCTCTCTCGATTCTCATCCCTCATTGAAAAAACACGTTGCAGGAATGGCAGCAACTCAGGTGATAACATCGTCGATCCTCACCAAGAGTTTAGCTTTGTTTGAAGGACCTAGACCTTCAAGCCTTAAGTTCACTCAATCTCAGACTCTCTCTGTCTCTCTGTCACTCCTTGAATTCAAAGCTTAGCAACCACCTACTTTTTCACAATCTGACTTCGACGAACTCTCTTCACTCCTGCCACCACTATACCTCACAGCTTCATCCCCCATCATCGATTCTCTCTAGTCTCTGTGTGTGTGGGGTTTCGAATTAAGGTTAGGGTTTCGAATTGAGGGCTCAGGTCAAGAGGAGAACGCAGGTCTGTCTAACTATCTCTTCACTCTATCTCTCTCTTTCTCTTTCAACCACCAATTCACTGTCACCCTCTAATTTCAATTTAGGTTTTTAATGTAGGTTCATATGATTTCAATTTCAATCTAGATGATGTGGATTTTGATGCAAGTTCGGTTTTGGGAAATCCCGAAATACCGAAAAGATTTCGGGAATCCTAAATTTCGGTTCAAGATTGGTCATCAGATTCTTGTCCCGAAAATTTTCGGTTTGGGATTTGGCATTCCATTTTCGGTTTGGTATCTCATACCGAACCAGCACTAGGTATTATTGTCGTGTGGTCAATTTTTGTTCACATTACAAATAATACCTTAAAGTTCTGAAATTATATTAGTTTATATTTGACCGTCCTATTTTCTATTTAGGTTGATGACGGATTTAGGATTCTCTTCCCGCTTTTTTTCTACTCTATCCTCATATATTAAACAATCATGATTAAATCACATCAACATCTTATGTTGACTTATTTATAGTGAAAGAGACAAAGTGACAAGTGTGAGAAGAGGGTAGGAAAGGGAAAGGGAATTGGAGGAGAGAAATCCCTACTTCATTGATGACCTATTAGATGTAGGAACTGAATGCAGACTAACCGAGTGACTCTTCTTTCTTGAGCTCTAACAATAAACATACAATCCAACATAAAAAATATAGAAGGCTTTTTATCCAAAATGGTATCTGGGATTGACATAACTCCTCATTTTGGTTTTAATCACATGACTATTTTTTGACAATAAAGATACAATCCTACCTAAGAAATATAAAAGGCTTTTTATCTTGAATGGTCCCTAAAGAATTATAAAGAGCTTTTTATTCATATGATCATCTCGATTCACATATTTCAATTCAAGGCCCAAATTCAAATAAGAAAAGTAATTACTCATCTCAACATATCCATACTAGAAACTAGCCAATTATAAACGTTCCCCGGGAAAGGGGGGGGGGCTAAAATTAAATCTTAGGGATAAATTATAAATGTTCAATGAGAAATTGATCAATTATAAAAGTTTAGGAGAGTAACCGGCTAAAATTAAAGTTAAGGGAAAAATTAACAGCTCCTTATAAGTTTGAGAGGAAATAGGCAAATACCTCAAAAATAAAAACCCCAAACTCTTTCTATGTTCAGTCACCCCAGCCCCGCATCCCTTCAAAGCCCAAAATTTGAAGCAACACCAACCAGCAAAACAAGTAAGGTTAATGAAAGAAAAAAAGGATGAAGGGAGACATAGATTCTTTTAGAAGGTTGTGGGGTGGGTGGCATAAATGACAGAAAAAAGGGAATCGTGGGTACTAGAGGTTTAGATATGAGATTGGATTTGCATGGTAGCGATGAAGAGGGAAGTATAGAGTCTCTCTTTTAGAATCAATGTAGCCCTGAGTTTTTATAATTGACCAGTTTCTAATATGAATTTGTTGAGATGAGAAATTGCTTTTCTTATTTGAACTTGGGCGTTGAATTAAAATAGGTGAATTGAGATGGTCATGTGAATTAAGTTACAAGGAAGGCTAATGAAATGGCATCACAACCCTAACATATTGCTGGGGAAAAAAGGCCCAAGGAGAAGATTCATAGTTGTCCATATTAGGGATAAAATTTAAACAAAAAGTATACGGAGTGAACTAGTTGAAGAGAAGAAGAAGAAGGAGGAAAAAAAATATGTTTTCCACATTAAGGATAAAATTACCTTTTCTTTTCCTTACCATGTGTTTGTGCACATGACCAAGATGGATAGAAAATTGGATGAAATTTTCTAAAATCTAATGCAAGGGGGGAAATTAGCCAATTGTAAAATTTCAGGGGGTAATCAGTTAAAATAAAAGTTTACGGAGGAAATTGACCAATTATAAAAGTTCAAGAGATAATTAGCTACAATTAAAATTAGGGAGACAATTAACAGCTCCTTACAAATCGACAAATACTTCTTTATTTACTTTTTTTGTTTAATTTGATTTTTAATGTTTTTTGTGTTGGAGATTTTTAATGTCTTTAAATGTTAATTTATATATTATCTTGCACACATGGCAATCTTAATAAGCCAAAGTTCCAATGCAAAGACTCAAATATTGCACCCATATTTTCATATTTAGGTCCCAAAAAAGTGGTAAATTTATGTATTTTGATTATTTTTTTCCCCTAATGCAAAGACTCAAATCTTAAGACTCATTTTGAGTCTTTCCATTGGAGAAGAAAAATTGAACTCAAAACTCATATTTGAGTTTTAACAATTTAGTTATGTGCATTGGAGATGATTGAACTTAAAATTCAAATTTCATTGTTCTTGGCTGAGTAATTTCTTTTTTAATTTGAATGGGCTCCACTTTCGACTCAAATATCACTTTGAAACTCAAATTTGGGGTGTCACTTTGCCTCACAACCCAAATATGAGTTTTAAGTTCCATGCGCATTAAAGATGTTTTGCCTTATATTTGGACTCAAAATAAATTTGAGTCCTCCGTTGGAGATACTCTAAGCGAACTTAACAATTTTATTGACATACCTAACGATATATTGCAAAGTGATGCAAAAATTGAGTTCTAGAATGTAAAGTAGCGTAAATTAAGTTTCAGGAGACAAAATAATATTTTTGGGGATAAATGGCCCAAAATAAAAAGTCAACAATAATACAAGGTTGACAAAACACTGATTAACGTGTCTGAGTTTGTTCCACGATAGATGTGGGCTAATTAGTCATTTCACATGTCTGACGGTGTTTTACAATACCAAAGCTATTAAAGCAGCTCTAGTGTAGGAAAGGCCCCCCCAGGGCAACTGCCTATTGAATCCTCTCCAATGAATAGTAACGACCTTTAATGAACATTAATTGTTTTTTGCATCTCCACCCCTAAACTGAATAGCCATGACAATATGCAATAAAATATTAGTATTTTTTATTTTATAAAATAATAAAAATAATTTTATTTCAAATTTCGGATATGATTTTTAATCAGTTTCTTTGTACCACGTTTCATTAAATAAGAAATTACAACCCAAAGTATTTGAGAAAATATAAAATTGTGGTGTAAAGTGGAAGATAATAATAAGATATTTGTAGAAAAATTAAATCTTTTTTTTTTTTAATTTTTAAAAAATTTCCGGATTTTTTATTAATTGTTTTCATTTTTTAAAAATTTTTATTAATTTTTTACATTTGTTTATTAAATTTTTATTGCTGTTTTATATTTTTTTTTTTATTAATTTTATAATATAGTTGACATCAGCTTTGTATTAGTTTGCCTTAAAGCACTCGGGCCTGCGATTCGAGCCCACCCTCTCACTTAAGATCCCCATCAGCCCAATCATCCTCATGGGCTGAAGCAAGGAGCTAGGGCAATTGGATAGAAAAAGCAGCCGGTCCACCGGGCTATCACGTACGGTGGACTTGCTCTTAGGTGTTCCGGAGTTCCCAGATGCCCGGCAGTGTTGTACTGTTTTATGCCAAAGATACAAAAAGATAATGCACCAACGACTGAAGGATAAGCTCTGTACTTCATAAAATCTGGGAGGAGCTTCTGTCTGCTCTTCGAAACGTTTAAGGTTGCAGTGGCAACTGCGAGACTATGGCCAATGAGATCATGCATGCGGTTCAGTACGATAGCTATGGCGGAGGACCTTCTGGCTTAAAGGTTATTCTTTTCAATTTTCCACCTTCATCGTCTTCCAATTTGAAAAAGAACTGCAACCCCATTTCGATTGCGAGTACTTGATTGATTTATTGAAATTTTGGGGAGGAAAAAAATAGTGATTGGTTTTCTTTCTCACGTTTATTGTTTTTATTAGGAAACGAGAATACGAGAGATTCTTGAATCACGCGATGAGAGAGATACTGACAGGAAATATACTCCGTCACTAGGTTTTGTTATCGAGAAAATTACCATTTGCATATGCTAATGGTAAAATAAATTGTTGGTTTATTTTGTGGGTACATTGCATTTTGTCATGACATTGGCCTTATTGCAGCATGTTGAAGTTCCGATTCCAAATCCGAGCAAAGATGAGGTGTTGCTGAAGGTGGAGGCAGCCAGTCTAAACCCATTTGATTGGAAAGTTCAGAAAGGCATGCTGTGGCCTTTTTTGCCTAGCAGGTTTCCGAACATACCGGGTAATTTGGTTTTGCTGTCTTGAGACACTCTGCTACTTAGGGGATCCTTTTCGTGTTTATATGTCTTGACTTATGCTACATTCCGTGTATTATTTGATCTTCTTCTTGAAAAAAGTAGGATGGATGTTCGATACTTGCTTAAACACGTTGATACTTCGCGTTTGAATGCACTCTTTTCTTGTTCATTTGGTCTAATAAACTTTCTGCAGTGGCCTTTTTCTGTTTCCTGGGAGAGATTCTTACATGAAACCATTGATATCCAGCATGATGAGAGGGACAGAGTGTAATGAGATATGCAACGGGTAGCAACGTTTTTCAAAGGGAAGGGGGTGGGGGTGCACCTTTTAAGATGAGATAAAATGCGTTATGTAGAAGTTTTCACAGGACCACATTTTCTGAGAAGTTGTTTTGTTAACTGAAGATATTCCTTGCTGGAACTGGAACAGGTACCGATGTAGCAGGAGAGGTTGTAAAGGTAGGCCCTGGAGTAAAAAATTTCAAAGCTGGTGACAAAGTTGTTGCAATGGTTAACCCTCGTGTAAGTTCCCTTATATATCAGCTCAACTTTCCCAGTTTCACTTGAAATTCTTCGTATTTAGTATTTGTTGTTGGCGAAGTACAATTTAGCTGAAAGGATAACATAATTCAGAAAAAAGGGTATTAAGCTCCCATATATAACTTAACTTATAGCTATTAATTTCATAATGATCTCTGAATAATTATTAACCAATTTAAAAAGTAATATTCATTTGTTCCAATCTGAATTGTTGTATTTGTAAGCCCTCGTTAACCCCTCATCGATTTTGTATGCCCCTTTCCCTAGTGTCTTTCCGGTTGGCGTGAGACTGAACATTGCAGGTAGGAATGACTCTTGATGTGCCTAATATGCAAACCTGGTGACAGAATGTGTCACCTATATATGTAATGCGTCTTTCATTGATACATACCATGTCTGTTTTGACTGATTATATTCTTTGATGATGAATCATAGAATGGAGGTGGACTAGCTGAACTTGCCGTGACAAGGAAGAGTTTGACTGTTACAAGGCCACCGGAAGTTTCAGCAGCCACTGCTGTAGGATTACCCGTTGCTGGTCTCACAGCTCACCAGGCCCTTGTACAACCTGCAGGGATCAAGCTTGATGGAAGTGGTCAGCAAGCAAACATTCTGATCACAGCTGCTTCAGGCGGTGTAGGACTCTATGCGGTTCAACTAGCAAAACTCGGAAACACTCATGTTACAGCCACTTGTGGTGCCCGCAACATTGAACTGGTCAAGAGCCTAGGGGCTGATGAGGTTATTGACTATAAGACCCCAGAAGGTGCAGCTCTTAAGAGTCCATCCGGTCGAAAATATGATGCTGTGATCCACTGTGCAACAGGCATTCCTTGGTCAACTTTTGAGCCTAATTTGAGTGCGAATGGTAAGGTAATAGATATTACTCCCACCCTTGGTTCTGTGGCAAGCTTTGCATTAAAGAAACTTACCTTTTCCAAAAAGCAATTGGTGCCACTGCTCTTATCTCCCAAGGCCGATAACCTTGATTATCTTGTTAAGTTGGTGAAAGAAGGGAAGCTCAAGACGATAATTGACTCAAAGTATCCCCTGGCTAAGGCAGAGGGCGCTTGGGCTAAAAGCATGGATGGCCATGCTACTGGAAAGATAATTGTGGAGCCTTAGTTTTGGCCATGCTATGCTTTGAATTGGCCTGTGTTATGTAGTTACATGAGATGTTTGAGTATTATTTTAATGGTGTTTATTCACCAAAGCACTATGATGTATTCCTCACCGTCGTCATCCTCACTGCCTCCATGGTTATAGTAGTTGCTTGATGTGTTTAGCTTGGTTGGTCGGGTTTTTTGTCATTCTTGGTGTATAGAAAGATGGTAATGATGGGTTTGTTCTTGGTGTTATTGACGATAAGACTATACTTAATGCTCTATGCAAGAATGGGTTTGTGCAATCTGCTGAAATGTTTATGTGTAGGGTTTTAGAGCTCTGGTTTCAGTTGGACGCCGGTATTTGTACTTGTTTTGGTGTTTGATGTAATGCCTAAAAGTGATAGCTCTAGACCTGATTTTGCGATGTACTCGATTATGATTCTTGGTTGTCTCAATTTATGGTCAATAGTAAGTTCATTTCAACTCGAGCTATCTAGTTAACTCGACAGAACTTGAACTTTAATTTACAGTCCCCAAAAAAGTGCATCAAGTGCACAATGTCCGAATATATTTTGTCTACTTAAAGCTCCAAAATGATCTTCCCTGTAGCATGGCCTTCGATACTCTTAACCCAAGCATCTTCAGCCTTGCTCAGAGAATGCGTCGAGTCGATCACTGCCTTGAGTTTCTTTTCCTTCACCAAGCTAACAAGACACTCCAGGTTCGCACCCTTGGGAATCATGAGCAGTGGCACCAGCTGCTTCTTTGAGAAGGTGAGTTTCTTCACGACAAAAGTAGCGAAAGAGCTCGTAGTCGGAGCAATGTCTATAACCTTCCCTTTTGCACTCAAACTAGGCTCAAAAGTTGACCAAGGAATGCCTTTTGCACAGTTGATTATGAAATCATATTTTCGTCCAGACGGGCTCTTTAGAGCCGCCCCATCCTCCGTCTTGTAGTCAAGAACCTCATCTGCCCCTAAGCTCTTGACCAATTCGACATTACGCGCTCCACATGTGGCTGTAACGTGAGTATTTCCGAGCTTTGCTAGTTGGACTGCATAATGTCCCACGCCTCCAGAGGCAGCAGTAATCAATATGTTCTTATTTTGACCTGTTCCGTCAAGCTTGATCCCTGCACATTGAGTGAGTGCTTGGTGAGCCGTGAGGCCAGCAACAGGTAAGCATGCGCCTTGGGCGGCTGAAACTTCAGGTGGCCTAGCAACCATTAATCTCTGATTACTTACAGCAAACTCAGCCAGTCCTCCACCACTCTGTCAAACACACGAACTTTAAATGTGAGGATCCTAGGCATAAACAAGTAGCTCTTAAAAAAAAGGGGAATAAGTCGATCGAGCACTTACGAAATGGCTGAGCAGTACAACAACTTTGTCTCCGACTTTGAACTTTTTGGCACCTTGTCCAACTTCTACAACCTCTCCGGCCACATCAGTTACTGGTCATGCATGACGCGAGAGATCGAAGAGAATAAATAACAGGTTAGATTAAAGATTTTGCTCTATAGATAGCAGCTTAAAGCTCAAAGACATCCCAAGACAACTCATCTTTCAACATAATTTTGTTGCAGAATCCTACAAATCCGTCTACCCACACAACGCCCGAAATGCGTTCCATGTAAGAATCGAGCACAAATGAGAGATTATATTTGGTGTTCTGCATAAATTTTATTTACAAATGTTCAACAAGTACAATAAGATCACAAATAACATGAAAAACTGAATTACCAGGTACTTGAGGGAATTTTCTGGGGAAAAGAGGCCGCAGCTCGCCTTTCTGAATTTTCCAATCAACTGGATTGAGACTAGCTGCTTCCAATTTCAGCAAAACCTCATTCTTCTTAGGGGCGGGAATCGGAACCTCAACATGCTGTACCAAACAAAAACTCATTTGTGTTCGATTACGAATCACCACTTCAACTCAATCTTTAAACAGTTTCCTAGCAGGTTGTACTTGTTACATGATTAACTACTAATTATACATAAATTACCATGAAGATCAAATTAAACACTGATGGCATAGAAACTCGATTATTCTCATGCTAAAGCTTAGAACTTTTTAACTTTTTTTTTGAGCCATCAGAAATCACCTTCAAACCAGCTGCTCCTCCGCCATAGCTGTCGTACTGAACCGCATGCATAAGCTTCGCCGCCATGGCTGATCATGCACACGCAGAGACAGAGTGCTAGAGAGAGAGAAAGCGTGCAGATTTCTGGAATTGAGTTTTTTGAGTCACATTGTTTTCTTCACTTCATTACCTGTTTTTTTTGTACTTATTACAAATAAGTCCAAAAACAAGAATACATGGATTCTTTCCAATACGATAAACCAAAACTTTTTAAAGTTTCAGAAAGAATCCACCTTTGTAATTCTTTTTTTTTTTGTCGAACCACCTTTGTAATTCATTAAGTGCACAGTTATATCACGAAAAACCCCGATCAGTTAGTAATGAAATTATTTCATATTAAAGAACTTCATTAGGTTTCCGATGTGGGACATATGCTTCAACAAAAATTTAAAGGAATTGGTTTGCCTTGCTTTAATAGTCAACTATGATAGCTACTCTCACTTAGTACTACAGTCTAGTGATATCTCTCTTCATTTATAAGTGAGCGATCTTAAGTTCAATTTCCACCAAATGCAAATTTGAACCACATTATTACTAGTCCATTGTGAGACTAAATCTACCCCCTCTCCGTAGTATAAATAGTATTGTTTGTTAAAAAAAAAAAAAATAGTCAATCATGACTAACAATATTTGTTTTTAAAAATCATCTATTATTCATAGTGGATTGTTATTCTATGATTATTTGTATTCTTAATCACACATAAAACAAGATCACACCCATAGAATAATTCTTAGTCACACATAAAACAAGATCACATACATATAATAATTCCTAATCTCACATAAAACAAGATGACGCACATATAATAAAGCAACCGTCTTTGCTCTCATGCTTTGCTTGTAACATCAGCAAATGAATACAATTAGGGAAAGACATCCTCTCCGGATTTCTTCCTCTAAAATCCGCAGATCAAATGATCCGGATCCTTGAAATTTGATCCAACGATTAAAAATAGAGAAGTTAGTAAAAAATTTTAAAAGTTCTAATAATTTTTTACCGTTGGATCAAATTTCAAAGGTCCGGATCATTTGATCCGTGGGTTTTGGAGGAAGAAATCCGGAGGGGATCTCTTTCCTACATTTAGTCCCAACAAAATCTGTTCACTTAAGGCTCCACAATGATCTTCCCTGTGCATTGGCTATTGAGTCTCTTAGCCCAAGCATCTTCAGCCTTGCTCAGAGGATGCTTCGAGTCGATCACCGTCTTGAGCTTTCCTTCCTTCACCAACTTCACAAGACAATCCAGGTTCTCAGCCTTTGCATTTATCATCAGCGGCACCATCTTCTTCTTGGAGAAAGTGATCTTCTTCAGAACAAAAGTGAACAATGAACTTGCACCCGGAGTAAGGTCTATAACCAGCCCTCTTTCACTCAAATTTGGCTCGAAAATCGACCAAGGAATTGCTGACGATGCGCTGTGGATTACGAAATCATATTTCCGATCTGATGGGCTCTTTAGGGCTGCCCCATCAGGTGTGTTGTAGTCAAGGACCTCGTCTGCCCCTAAGCTCTTGACCAATTCAATGTTTCTTGTTCCACAAGTAGCTGTTACATGAGTGTTTCCGAGCTTTGCTAGCTGGACTGCGTAGAGACCAACTCCACCAGAGGCACCGGTGATGAGTACATTCTTATGTTGACCAGTTCCATCCAACTTGATACCTGCGGCTTCGGTTAGAGCCTGGAGAGCTGTGAGGCCAGCAATTGGTAGGCCTGAACCTTCAGTCGCTGAAACTTCAGGCGGCCTCAGCACTGTCGAGGTCTCACTTACTGCAGCATACTCAGCCAAGCCACCTCCATCCTATCGATTTGTAACGTGACAACAACATAATTGAAGCGAGTCATTTGGTAACGAACACATGAATTTTGTAAGTGAAACTCGGCATCTTCAAAATACTTACACCATAGGGGAGTATTGCCACAACTTTGTCACCTACTTTGAACTTTTGGACGTCTTGTCCAACTTCTACAATCTCTCCGGCCACATCGGTAACTGTCCCCTCATATGAACCATCCAAAGTTAACACATCAACTACTGCCGAAGATTTGAAGACATCGAATATGCATAAATCATGAAACAATTCATAATACTTCAACCTAGGGAAAGATGTTTTGTTTCAAACACCAACTGATCCATCGTCCCTAGTATTCTCACAACAAATGCTTCCACATATGAATTGGTAAGTAAAGATTTTCGGGTTAATTTCAGAATTTTTCAGAACAATCACAGTTTTCAGAAATACTTTATTCTTCTCCATATATTTAAGAGAACAAGATACAAGGCTAACTGAAGAACATAATGATGAATTCGGAGGGTGTTAAAAGGCTCAAGTCTTCAGTTTGTCATTGTAAAAGCAGAGTTCCTACTAATATATAGCGACTTGTAATTTCAGATTCCAAAATTAATTATTATGTGTGACTTTAGTTTCTGAAATGGACACGGAATAAGCATAGAACTTTTATTCATTTTTGTAGTTAGCATAGATTTGAGGTACGTACAAGCAGCTGCCGGTTTGCAACCATGTTCGTGGACGGTAATCCCTCAGTAACTCTTTAAGAGCAAAATAATGGGAAAGTCCACTTTAAGATGACGATTAAGATCAGAGTATGTGCTATTGTGCCATACTTTCCGTTTACAAATGCCAAATAGTCCACAGGCAAAAGGGCATTACCAGGGGTGTGAGGCAGTTTTCGTGGAAAAAGCGGCCGCGCGAGGCCTTTCTGAATTTTGAAATCGCTTGGATTTAGACTAGCTGCTTCGAGCTTCACCAAAACCTCGCCTTTCTTAAGAGTGGGGATTGGAATCTCCACATGCTGCAACAAACACAGTATAAATATAACAATTTATAACGGTAGCTTCAGACTAATTTAGATAGAATTAGAATATCGCTTGGATAGATCAAGGTCTCAACAAAACAAGTACATATTCACAGCACGAAACAGTACGAATCCTCAAATCCTTAAACCCATGTTTTATGGCTGTATTAAAAGTTCAAAACATACAAAGAAAAAGCAGCTGATGAATAATTAAAAGTTCAAAACAAACCTTTAAACCAGAAGGTCCTCCGCCATAGCTTTCGTACTGAACCGCATGCATAAGCTTTGCTGCCATGCCTGCCAAACTTCCGAGACAGAGTTTGAGAAATCTATACTTTTTGGTTGCCCTTTTGTTTTTGTTTTTGGTTTTGCTGCAACAATTATACTAATTCAGCCTCATTTATAGCGGTTCGAAAGCTTTGTGCGCGTGACGGGTCATCTTTGATAACTGTTGTATTGGAGCAACTTGTTTTATTCAATATGGTTCGACAGACTTGTTCCGGAGATAAATATATTGCGTGAAAGCTTCTTTCAGCCTGACGTTGTTGAACCGAAGAAAACGTATAGAATATAATAAAGCAATCGCGTTCTGAACTTTTACTTAATCAGCAAGAATATATTTTTCAGTTGAAGCTTTGCCTTGATCACCAAGCAAAATCTAACCACAAAGTTGAGAGATTTTTCAATGTGACCATCATACGAGGTAACTTAAAAATTTAAATTTTCCACCACTTATATAAAAACACGTGGTGTACCATCCGTATTCCCTTCACAACTGAAAATTTCTCCACAAAGTTGCCCGACCCTGCTCCTTTGGATCCCGCAACTTCAGCCCAATTGACTCATGTAAATCCAGAAGGCGGTCGGGTTTAAATTTAAATTTAATGGCTAAGGGTAAGGTGCTTGTAACTCGATTAGATAAAACTTAGCATTCACCCTTACACTCAAGGTGTGGGGATACAACGACTTACGTGGCATGCATTGTGGACAAATCATACACAAAGCATGCGACTCACTAAAATCGGGTGAGCTATTAAGAGGGACACGCTTCAACACTTGGTGGAAAGTAATTAAAAAATTATCTTTATTAATTCTTTAATTAATTTTAATTTAAACCAAACAAATTACTTAATCTTCTTTATATATAAAGTCAACAACCCCTTTTGAGGTTGAAGTTTCACCAAAAATTTTTGGACAAAAATGCTCCCAAAACAAAAATTTTCAAAAGAAACCCAAATAATGCAGGGGTATTTTTGTCATTTTAACAATATTTTTTTTAATAATTAATTCTTTTTGTACAATTTTTATTTTTTTAAGAGTACCTCACAATAGGCTAGCAATTATGTGATTCAATCAATTGTTAATTAAATACTATTTTCTCTATTTTTAAACACGTCCAAAACATCTTAAAAGGCGTATTATGCCGATTATAAAAAAAGGTCTTTCGCACGCGCATAATAATGTGATTAAATTAGTTGTCAAATGATAGTTTTTTTTTTTTTGAACAAACGATATTATCTACACTAAGGGGGAAGGGGTGGGCTTAGCCTCACAATGAGTTAGCAATAATGTGATTCAATCAGTTGTTTATTAAATATTATTTTCTCTATTCTTAATGTAAATTCAATAGAATGTATGAAAATTGAAAGATCAATTTTATTATGTGAATTTAGCTACTTTGATTGGTTTGTGAGGGCTTTTTTCCTAGCATGATTTAAGATTATTCATTTACTTCAAATATTTGACATTCCTTTTGTCAATTCACGCATATAAATATATTTAAAATGTGTAAGTTGCACGTAGTACGACGTGATTCAAAAAATGTCTTCTGCATACAAAAATGGCCCTTTTGCATGAACGTCCCACCATGCGGGTCCACATCTTGTTTGAGAGCTACTGCATATGGTTGTCCGTACTTTGTGTGCAAAAATTTTCTCATTCTTGTGGGAAATCAACTTTTATATACAGTGATGTTTCATCTCAATGACATAATACTCGTAAGTCTTCATTCACAATTTTTGTGTCATCGATACGAAATTGCAGTGGCTGTCTACGCACGATTTAGTGGTTTCTCTTTTTTGTCGGTCTTCCCCCCTCCCGTAATTGTCAGGAGCAGAACAAGTCACTGTGTCGACATGTCGTGTGCATTAGATGTCTTGACTTGTATTGCTTAAGATATAAGCAATTGAAACACATCAAGTTCTTGTTGGAACTTGTGAAACTTGTGGGATCTTTAGTCCCACATCGCCCATTCCTCTTTTGAAGATCCACTTTATAAGTGTGTTCCCACACTTATGGTTTGAAAGAAATTGGGCCTAAGCCATAGACTTTGGGCCTTAGACTTGAAGGGTTTGGGTGCATATGTTAAATGTCAAAGATTGGCCTTGGGCCTTGAAGTATCATTTTTACGTTTTTAATTTTTGCATTCAGTTTTTTCCGAAAAAATAAAACTATTCACGTGAACAGTTACAACCATTCGTGAAGATAAACATGAACGGCTTTAACTGCTTCATTACACCATTATAAATATGGCCGTAAGATCAGCAACCGAATAACAATTCCATCGCTTCTTTTTCCATACTTCACAGAGAAACACCACAACCAATTCACCAAGAATCCAAGTTCGAGTGTAAGAACTTGGATTAGATAGTTGTATCCTGCAAGATAGATGTCCGTTGAACTATTGCACTGGTGTATGGGAGAATTTTTGTCTTAGGAGATTACTACTGCAAACCTCTATCTTCGTAACCAAGTCAGTGTTTTGTGATTTATTATTCAATTTTATTAATTGTTTATATTATGAGATATATTGTATCTTTGTGAAATTTCTATTCGAAATAAACTGTGCAATTTTAGATATTTTATATATTTGATTGGTTTTAACAGTTCTGTCCTAATATTTTGTCAAGGCGTTTAGAAAGACTATGTCGACAGACTCACGCAAAACCAAATTTGATTTGACAATGCCATGGCCAAATTAAAGATGAAAGGTAATTGATTTATTTGATTAAATCAAAATTATGTGATCAAGTCACATCACAAACCAAATTTGTAAGGAGGTGGACTGTATGCCCTTCCATTTCCATACTCTCTCCATCCTTTTCTGTTTGTGTGATTACGGTTAAGCTATGTTAACATTTTATATTCCTATTACTTTTTGTTTTATTATTTCTATAAAAAATTAATATAAAATGTTGACGTGGCTTAACCATGACCACACATCACAGGAGGGTATGAGGAGAGTATAGAAATGGAAGGGCAGACAATCCACCTCCAATTTGTAGTTATGTTTAAAGATCTCTTTCAATTGCTTGTCGCCTTCTGTTAATAGGGTTGTTGGAAAATCAACACTTGTTGCACGAAACACGAAATAATACATTACATGTTATTATACAAATGATAAAATATATGCATTAAAAAATTAATAACTAATATTAAAAATTTTCACTGCTTATGTAAAAATACGTAATGCACGAGTCGTGTTTTGGTCACAATAAAAATTTTCTCTCTACAAACCATCTTTAAATCTTGCTTTTTTCAAAACAAAAAAAAAAATCTATTGGCCAAAACCTATCTCCATAGGTTTGTCTACCACCATCTGACCATATCACTTCTCAAGACAGGAATCACATCACCACCTTATTGTTTCAAACCATCCAACTTTCACGTGGACTTTCAATTTAGCAAAACCATTATCATGATTAGGAAATCCATGCAAAGCACTCAGTCCGTTGAAGATCACGTGAAATAGGACACCGATTTAACTAAATTTCTCCATGCTTATTGAATATTTCTACAAGATAATTATTATTAAAATCCAATAGTAAATTTAGGAATATATTAAATTTTAATGGCCTCAATTAAATAGGTCGACGATGTAAAATCCAGTACAAACACCTATACTTAACATCCACACATTTCCAAACTCTCCAAACACTTTACACACTCAGAAAACTCGTTGCATTCTCTGCCACTCTCAAACACTCTACTTACTCAGAAGACATAGAAAGCTCTTTGCATTCTTTGCCACACTCGTGACGAACATACACTCTACACACTTACACTTAGAAGACTCATAAAGCTCTCTGCATTCTTTGCCATACTCATGAAGAACACATGCCGGTTCCTCCATCGCCTCAAGCCAAACCCTTGAGGCGTTCATTGGTTCGAGAACAAGTTACTACAACCCTCAGATCAACAACTCTACATATATGTACAAGTGTTCTTGTTTCATTTGTTACAAGAAACTTCGTGTTTACACATTACTTTGCAAAGAGATTGCTTCCACGACTCGAAATCTTAGCCTTTCAGTTACAAAGGAGAAATATTTCTGTTGTGTCAAGACTCAACTCTCGATTATTCTGAAGAAAAAAAAAATTATAATCATCATTTGAGCAAACTAATTAACAGTTGAAAACGAATAATCCTAAACCTTGTTATTTATAATATCCAATCATGAAAAAAACCGAAATTATAATAAAAACCACACATTATTTATATTATTTATACAAAAATACTTTATATTCTGTTGCACAAGCCTACAATACTAAAAGGGAAAAGAGAAGAAAAATCATGAAATTAAGAAATTTTGTCTGCTTAGTTAAGGCTCCAGAATGATCGTTCCCAATGCATCGGCTATTGGCTATTGAATCATCGATTCTCCCAAGCCTCTTCAGCCTTGCTCAGAGGATCCGTCGAGTCGATCACCGTCATATTTCCGACCAGACGGGCTCGTTAGGGGTATCTTATCCGGGGTCTTGTAGTCAAGAACCTCATTTGCTGCTTAGCTATTGACCAACTCAACGTTTTTAGCATGAGTGTTTCTGACTTTTGCTAGTTAGACAATATAGAGACCTATGCCGCCAGCAGTGCCAGTGATCAGTAGTTCTTCAACTAGCCGCTTCCATCAAGCTTGATCCCTGCATTCTTGCTGAGAGCCTGGTGTGCTGAGAGACGGGCAACAGGTAAGCTGGAACCTTCAGCTGCCGAAACTTCAGGAGACCTAGCAACTACCAATTTCTCTTTGGCTGCGGCTAGCTCAGCTAGTCCACCACCATTCTATTGATATGATCAGCAACAAACACATGAACTTAATTTTATATGTGAAACTTTCATTTTTTTTTTTTTTTTTTAATACGAGCGATGGTGGGGGTTTTGTGGGGTTGGGGGACATGGGCGAGGGGGGCAGGGGTAAATACTCTTCACCAATCAAGCTACAAGCCCCTTGTGACCTTGTGCATATGAAAATTACACTTCAAGAAAGGAATAAAATGTGAAACTTACACTATAGCTAAGTAATGCCGCAACTTTGTCACCCACCTTGAACTTCTTGACTCCTTGTCCAACCTCGACTATCTCTCGGGCTACATCAGTAACTATTACCCGCACATGATGTCATCAGCCAAAGTTAACAAAAATCAACCTATTGGCCTAAGGCTCGAAGACATCGAATTCATAAATCACAAAACAGGTGTCATTGTCTTTTTAGTTTCCACTGATGCAAAAGAGAATTAATTACCAGGTGTGTGTGAGGCAATTAAGTTGCATGGAAAAAACGGCGCGCAAGGCCTTTCTGAATTTTAAAATCCCTGGATTCAGACTTGCTGCTTATAGTTTCAGTAAAACCTCATCTTTCTTCGAAGTGGGGATTGGAATCTCAACATAAACGAGCATGCTGTTGATGCACTCTTAACAGAATTTAATCTTCTCTTTGTGTATTTGCATTAAACATAAATGCGAATTGAGGCCAAAATCTACATAGGAATATATGTCAGAAAAAGAAAAAAAAAGAAACTTCTATTAATTCTACAAAAATGTTGATAGAAAACATAAGAAAATGAGCAGATAAACAATGAACCTTCAAATCAGAAGGTCCTCCGCCATATCTTTTGTACTGAATCGCCTGCATAAGCTTCACTGCCATGGCTGCCAAACCGGAGACTGAGAGGGTGGGAACTGCGAGAAAAGGAATTTTTGTATGCACCATCAAGTGAACCCCATAAAATGTATGCATCATCAAATGAACTGCATATATTATGCTGTAACGTGTTCATTCGGTTTATAAATTGGTTGAAACTTTTGTGTCCATCGAAGTTATCCCCTGATAATTGTTCTATTGGAGCATTTTGTTTGATTAATGATTATCTAAAGGGTGACTTCAAGCCAACAAGATTTCCAGTTGTGCGAGGTTCGGAGGGAAATGGCTATCGTACGCATCCTATATAGTGTTAAAACATTTCATTTATTGAAAATAGTCCTCCAATCACATATAAAATAAGAGCAATTGTATTCTGAGCTTGTTCTATAACTATCTATAGGCTTTGGCTTGGTCATCAAGCAAAATCTAACCACAGACCATATTAATTGTACTGTTTTCTTAATTAATGATTCGTTATTCCTAGTCATTTAGAGTAATCTAAGACACATACAAAAAAAGATCAATAGAGCAAATAATTGAATATTAGTGATATGAAAAAATCTGCGTGCGTTACTAATTTCTGGTTGTTGGTGCTTTAGCCCTATTTTGTTATTCATACATATCTGTGGTTAGTAATCACGCATGAGCAATTGGCTGTAGCACCCACATAACATGAAATAAGTTGAAAACCTACCAACAAACTATTACGTGCTTATGTCTTGCAGTAATGTCCATAAAAAGAGGAAAAAGTCGATACAAAACAAGGAAAAGTCGATACAATTTGCTCTTATGATTTAAATTACGATGCACATAGTTTTTACAGCAAATTGAAGAAGTTTTACATATAATCAAGCATTCTCTGTAACATATCCAAACGCATCCTTGTAATTATTCCACATATCATTCACAATACTATAAACCATCTCGAAAAACTCTTCGGAAATCTCCGGATAATCAGTGAGCAACCCATCGAGCGATTCAAGCGTAGTCTTTGTTTTCTCCACAAGATCTACAACCGCAGAAGTGGTAACGCCAGCAGAACCTGTTACACTTCCTTTTAGAAAATCAAAGAAAGTGGAGATTATAGCACGTATTGCTTCCATTACAAGTCCCACAAAGTACTCGGAACATGACCTGATGACCTCTATGACTAGTTGTAACGTGCCATGGATGCCTTGGCCTGGTGCTCTTAATCCCTGGATCAGTAACATGAGAAGATGAGCCGTCGTGGACAAGATCAAGCGCGTAACCAAGTTCAATATGAAGCTCAATGTGAAGAAGATGGGTTTGAGAAGGAACACAACCATCTTCGCTGAATGCTGATTGTTACGAGTCTTTTTAAATAGCATGCAGTGTTGGAAGCTACTTGGTTTATTATATACGTGTGATTAAGGCTTGCACGGAGTTGATGTCACAAGATTACAATAGCTTATACGCAATGCTAATTGTTTACCATTGGAGTGGCGAACCTTTTTTGGCCGTAATTTTATAAGGAGCAGTTGTTGAATCGTTATCTTCCGTTAAATTTCAATGTCACTAAGAAATATAAATGGCGCTTTCGTAAGGACTGATTGTAACCAAAATTAATAGTAATTAACTGAATCAAATGGTTTCGTTTTGCTTACACAAAACATAATCGAATCAAGTCGGGGTTATCAACTATTTAAATAAGGAGTTGAAGTTTCACATCAACGTGTATGATGAAGTTTACTTAAGAAACATTAATCGCATTAGTACTAATCTGCGGATTAGGATCCAAAATCCAACTGAAGCATGTGAACTTTACTGTTACATATATTACTAGTACATTATACCCAAGGCATTCGTAAATAACCGAAAACAGAGCTTGTGTAACTGAGAAGCATCGACGTAAGGAAGGTCAGAACGATGCATCTTGATTCCAGTATACTTGACGTGGTATGACACCGGATCATATAAAACCAATTCTCCGCTAAAATCCAAACCAAACACAACTATATGAACTCTACTATTTGTTCTAAACCCCAAGGGACATGCTACAAATCCCCTTGGCGGAATACAGATAGTGCGGATCTTTTTCCAAGTATCCGCTTCCAAAACCCACGCGTCACAATAGCAGTCCTTCCCATCAACCAGGTCTAGTCTATGATGGAACAAAGAGAGTGATTTCTCAAACACTTGAAAAGTAATCAAAACCGAACACTTGGTGCAATTTATCAGGATACAGAATCTTTTGAAAAACCTCACTACCCAGCTCAAAAGATAGGATGAATGAGCACTTCTCAGAACTCCCCTTTGCAATCCAATACGCGACTCCACTCAAGAATGCACCCCTGTTTTGCAAAACTGACATCTTGTGAAACAGGAGGTACTGCAGTAAATTTTCTCCATGAGTCCAATCTGTCTGTAAATTTCAACGCAAAGTTTCTTGCGCAACCTCTGAATCCTCATCTTTCTTAGGATTGGGGATTGCAACCTTAACATGCTGCAACATGAAATATAAATACATGTAAGAAATTTAGCTCCACAAGAAGGAAAAATACTAACCTTTAAACGAAAAGGCCCTCTGCCATAGCTCTCGTACTGAACCGCATCCATACGCGTAGCAGCCATCACTGCCAACAGGTACGAAACCGGATTTTAAAGTGAGATGGGCTGAGGACTGTGGATTGTGGTTTTAGAAATTTACATAGAAAAAAGAAAGCTTTTGTCAACTTAAAATGATGTTTGCATCGCACGATTAATAGTATACATGAAGTGAGTGTCAAAACTGTTCACCTTTGACTAACACATTAGGTGACCAGAAGACTTCAATATATTTATACATTAGGTGAATCAGGTCGAATCATTTATTGATATAATATTAGTTTTTTTATTTTTTTTTAAATATTTTTTTAAATTTTTAATTTTTAAGGGGGGATAACTGATGGCAAGCCAGTTATTCATCCATTCTGGACTTGGAGAGGCTATAAGGAATTTCACCTTGCCAATGGCCACATCAGATCCTAATCCTATAATCATGTGACTTTCAAGTAGTGTAACATGTTGTGTCCGAATTTATCACCCGTAGCAAATACCTATCAAATTCATTGCCTTGGGGCCTAAGTTTACTTGCTATTCTATTTCTTCCAATTAGCAAGTAGCCTGAAAACATTACTCTTGCTCCTTCCAACTCCTCCTAAAATTTGATAAGAGTCGGAGGGCAACAAGAATCAAAATCCTAGACCTAATCAGCAATCTCATACATAAATTAGCAAACCATCATCCCATAGAGAGAAAAGGGTAAATATTGGCAAAGGATAAAAACTATACTTTATTTATAGTCATCATGTACACTATACAATGGAAAACCACCCAGCGCCTCCATGGCAGAGCCAAAATGCAGAGTACGAAATCCTTGCTATTTACAAAGATAATTAACCCAAACCATATTCGGGGGAAAAAAGAACTACCATATCTACTAATTAGTTCGACTTAAGCTCATATATTGTCTCAATGCATTCTTCAGTGTCCCAGAGGAATGAACCAAAGGCGACAGCCTCCAAAACTAGCCTCTTCAGACTTGAATATGAAGTTGAGATAACTTCATCGGTCTCAGGCAAACCCATGCTCCCATCATCGCCGAAGAGTGCACAACAGTGATTCTTAATTAAATTCACAGCCACCTTGGATCTCAGTTTTGCGCATCTCTGAATTGTATCAGGACCAAACCCCATCACATAACATCTCAACTTTCCATCTGTCTTCTCCTGCCTACTTGGCCCTTGAAACTTCGTTTGAATGCTGCCAATGCGGCCAAAGAGAAGATTTTTGTTTCCATTAGGACACATTTCCTGAAACTGAAGGGAGGTTCTGTGACTCATATGAAGGTCTTGGCTTTCCAAAGTTAGAATGTGGTCCAGGCTGTGTCTCAATGAGGCAGATTTCAGAAAGTAACCGTATAAGATGGAAGCCACATATGCTTGACCAAGTGTTTGACGTGTGATCGTTGTCACTGCCCAATTGTCTGTGACGCTAGAATTTGCCTTCAAGCCAATGACTGTGCTTACATGTTCCCTTATCATCTCCAAAACGTCCATGCTGTAAAGGGACTCTAGCTCCCAATCCTTTGAAGGCCATATCTCCATTCTCCCATTGTAGATGCATCTAGAAAGCTTAGGAACCAAATGAACTTTGATCTCAGAAAACTTGTAAAAGACTAACAGGTACATGACATCTTCGACAACAGTCTCACACTCCTGCTCCTTCAGTTGTGCAATCCTCCTGGCATTTCAGTAATATCTTAGGTCAAAGAAATAAATGTAATTATAAAGAAATCTAAACAGAAATTCCACATACGAGAGGTTTAACCCACCAAGCACTTACAAGGAGTGGTTCACCAATTTACTTACGCTAATGGGATAGTAAAAGGGTCGCTAGGCAAGAACACCCAGCAATATTACTGCAGTCACCGCCTGCCTATGTGCACAGGTAAAAAGTGCATGTTAGGCATAGCAAGGGCATTCAAGAATGCCCTACTCAAGATCATCAGTCCTTCCTACACCGATAAATTTAAAAGGTAACAACATAGCACATAAACAACAATTTCTTTATTAAAGACCTAAAACATCAATGTGGTTTCACATATCGTTATAAACTACATCACCTCCTACTAATGAATTCTCTCAGATCACGCAAGAACTTAAGGGATTCCTATGAACATAGTGATTTCCTCGCGAAGATATAACAAGGGAAACTCTCCATCCTTCAACACTGTAAATCATAGTCTATGATGACTCATGAGTCTATCCATCCATCGTCCAAGCTGAAATTTTGAACAGAGCAAAAAGGAAAAAGAAGAAGCAAAAACTTAACTTCTAGCTCTTAGGGAAGTGACTTTCACACCCCCGTTTTCTCCTTCTGCACTCCTCCCTATCTTTCCGTCCCTAATTCTCCCTTGAATTATTCAATCCAAAGGAAAGAAAAACAGGGGGGAGTGCATGGGGAGAAACAGGGAGTGTTGAAATCACTACCATAGCTCATATCACACAGCACACGAAAGAGAAAAACTTGATCATCTTGACAGAGCATCAAAATTACAGTACGCCGAAAACCTTCATGTCCATTACAAATGCTTATGAAGTACTGAAAAAAGTACTAAAGTCACAGTACCAACTATAAAGTTACTATTTTTTTACTAATAAGGAGATGAACAGCTAGAGGGATTGGATTTGTCATTATTTTACGGTTAAATTGCTTATACATCACAGCAACAACTATAAAGTTTCAATCTGTACGAGAAAAATTAGAAAAAAAAATCACATAAATCCGGAAAGATTACTGTAAAAATAGAACCTTTATAAGTTGATATGCAATTTAAGCAAAACCAGAAAAAAAAATAATAAAAAAAAAAGTAATGGGATTTAAGCAAATACCTATGAAGGCAGGCCTCATGAGAGGCGGCGCTGAGAGACGCACGCGAGAGAGCGAGTTCCCGATCATCGGCCAACTTCTTCAACTCCTGAGCGACCGCAAGATGGAACAGCTGCGGATGATTCTGCAATACGGTGCAGAGGTCCTTTCCGGGTCTGGTCCGCGGGTCGAGCGGCGAGTTGAGGCTGCTGAACTCGCAGTGGCTAGCCCCGGCTCCGGCGACGACGGTCAACGGCCTGAAGAACCGATTGGTGGTCCGCGATTGGACGGCGGTGCGGGAAGGAGCGAAGGCCGGGGTTACGCGGAGCTTGAGGGATGAGAGGGCGAGACAATGGTCCATCAACAAAGGCTGGATTTTGGATTATTTTGAGAGTGGGAGTGAAAGTTCAGAATTTCTTTTTTTTTTTTTTTTTATTTGGTGGGGGAGAAGAATATATGGAGAAATTTGGATAGGGTTGTCGCGGTGGTTGAGTCAGAGAGCAAGAGGGATTGGGGGTCTGCGGTCGGCTGTAGTGTTCTGATTGGGCCACGTGGCGCAATCGGGTCCGTCGGATTGTTTCACCAGAAGAAGGATGAGGGTGTTTATAATGATTTATGTAATGCACGAGCAGTGTCATAACAAAATTTGTTTAAACAGTGAATAGAAAAAAAAAATTCTTGAGTCCGACGGTCGAGCCAAATAGACTGTATGACTCACTTGTAAGAAATGAGCCATTGGTGCTATTTGGTTTCCTGTTCGTACAAATCTCAATATAAAAATCTCGTCATTACGAGTCAATTAAAAAGTCTATATGGTTCGACTACTAGGCACAAATTTTTTTACACAACTAAGTATTAATTTCTTAATAAGTATACTGTCCTTGCTAGAGGAAATTGAGAACTATTGTTTTGAACTGCACGAAACACCATCATTTGATATCATCATTCGTTCCACTCCAATTATGAACAAAAGTTTTCCACACTAATTATAAACCAGAGTTTTTTTTTTTGTTTCTATCAATATAATTTATAATATGAATATGCCGATGATGTTATTCGCACAAATATAATACACAACTCATTAACAACGCGTGACAATATTTCAACTAACATAAAGATTTTTCTAACTTGAGATATCCCGTGGTACCTCCATAGGATTGAATGGGACAAATATGAAAAGTTAGTTGGTATTGATTGATGTTTAATGTATAAGGACAAGCGAATCCTGGTAATGTATGGCGCCCACAGGCAGTCAGGCACATTGGTTTGGTATGGACCAATACGTTTGTAGGTCCATGTTGACCAATGACGGCTCACTTAACCCCAATGATTAATTTTTGATAAAGGATTAAGATAAGCTGGTTTAGATAGCAAAGTTGAAGTGAGAGGGGATAAGTAATACGAAGACTAACAATAGGATAGGATAAGCTATTTCTTTATGCAAGTATAATAATGGATGGTAGATCTTGAGACCTAACTTATCCTTCTTGTATTTGATTTTGGAGCTCTACTCAAATATAACCTTCCTTTCATAAAAAATAAAACAAAACAAAACAAAATAAAATTTGAGTGTGAACATAATATTAATTTACGTATTTTAATTCACAAAGGCAATACATATACGAAGGTGTATCTTGGCGTACAAGTAAGAATCTTTATACATCAGGAATACAATCAAAATTAGATTACAATATTAATTCCTAAACCTTAGAAGAGAAGGTTTTTTCGGATAAGATACTCCTTCTCTAACACATATCCCCCTCGTTGCACTAACCAACTTTTTTTTACATGGGCAAGGGCAGAAAGCACCCCAACCTATAAAAATTAGGATGAGTTGCTTATGACTTATTTTTATTCATTCTTTATACATGTAATATGTAGTATGTTGATCTCTAACAATAAGAAAATTATAATAATAACTCAATTTTGTGTAATATATGGCTGCCGTAATATATAGTATCTGCGTTTGCCAATCAAATACATTTCATCCAGGTACAGTTAAATAAGTCATAACCTGTTATAAATTTATTTATAAAGTTATCTATTCAATTTAAAATATTTAAGAATGAAACAAAAAAATGTGCAAAATATTAGGGTGATGAATGATTGGAAATAATTGAGGACACATGAAGAGACTCGCGCATCGCTGGTGTGATCTCAAGGAGTGATGGTCGGGTTTACCGCGTGTGGCAGTTAGGGGTGTTGGAGGAAGACGAATGGCATTATGGGTGTAATCAATTTCTGTTCAAGTTATGGAATGTCCAGATTAGCTAACGAAGTTATACACAAAAATCAAATTGGCTAAATTCAAAACACCTGAACTTCAAATTTAAAAAAAATAATACGAGAACTAAATTGGCTTTTAGCCAATTTAGTTGCTGTTACTGTGGACGTAATTACTCAACTATTTGTTTTTTTTTTTTGACCAAACATATTATCTACACTAAGGGGTAGGTGGCTTAGCCTTACAATAGACTAACAATAATGTAGTTCAAATTTTGGCGAAAATCAAACTTAAGACCTCTTACTTACAAGTGAATAAAAATATTACTAAACCGTAGTACTAAGTGACATTTGAAACGACAATGAAGCATGAAAATATTTCCCATGATACATGAAACCCCTATATTTATATTTTACTTTCAATTATATATATATATATATATATATTGCATATGTGTTCATTATTTTGTCAATATATATATTTGTTCATGCAATAGGCAATTATGCTATGTGGAATTTGTGAGTCAAAGCATCTAAATTAATTTAGAAGCAAGTAGGGTTTTTAACCTTAGAATTTGAAAAAAAAGGAAGGGAAATTTGGGATTTTTTCATGGTTGGGCTGAGCTGGCTGGCCTGCAGCCATACTGCAGCTAGGACAACGTTGTTTCAATGCCCTGCACAGCACTAGGCCTCGACCTGGGTTGGTCTCCAAACGGGCTTGAAGCTTTGAGTCCACCAGCAGGCCCTCAAAGCTTTGCTGGGCTCAGCCCTGCCTTAGCCCACCAGGCTTGCTGAGCTTTGCCCACATAGACCCCGCCCGCCTCTAGCAAGGCTTGCTTGCTGGGTTGGCCATCTATCTCGGCCCGAGAACACCAAAGCCAGCCCACGTGACTGGGCTGGCCTAAAACTGGCCCAAACGAACCCAGCCTTTGACTAGGCCTCGCGTGCAACCATATTAGGCTAGCCTTCGTGTTGGGCTAGTGTTCCCCGCAACTTTTGTGGCCCAAAACCAGCAGCTTGGTTTCTGGGCTCCTTCTCAAAACCGGCTTGTGGCCTGCAACTAGACATGGGCTACATTGGCAGCATACCCCAAGGCTAACTAAGCCATTTAGGGCCTTGCCTTGCACACGGCAGCTAGCCCATTGAGTTGGGTTGCGATTTTTTCAAACTCAATGCCCTGTTTTTGGCATTCCCACCTCATAACCATACTCCTATAATTTTTGGGATGTTATTGGTTAGCTTTTATTAAGCTATAATTTTATTATCGCTTGGCCCAAAGCCACAAATTCAAGCTAATATCAACCCGAATGTTATTATTATGCTTCTACAATCAAATCTAGATGGTTACGATTTATTGAATTAATTAAAGTGACCAGTAGTCCATTAAACGGTCAATTAATCCAAAATTATTGGCCCGAAGTCCATTTTTTGGCAATTAATGATTCAATAAATTATTTCTTTTCTTTGAATCGTTGACTCATTTTCGTAGTCCTGAAGAACTCACACTTGAGTTCCTGAAGCAACCCAAATCCACTACACTTATTTTTATATTGTCATATCTCGGGTTTGACCCCGCTGTAGCACGATATTATCCACTTTGGGCTTACCATTCCTTCACGGTTTTGTTTCTGGGAACTCACGAGAACTTCCCAGTAGATCATCCATCCTGGGATTGTTCTCGCCCGAACTCGCTTAACTTCGGAGTTCTGATGAAACCTGAAGCCAATGAGTTCTCAAAACGCCTCGTGCTATTTAGAAGTGGGCATGTACATATAAGGCACATTACCCCCTCTCCATTGGTCGATGTGAAATGTTACAATCCACATCCTTTAGGGACCTGACGTCCTCACTGACACACTCACACCACATGGCATAGTGGCTCTGATACCATTATGTCACATCCCAGACCCGTTTCGCCGTAACACGATATTGTTCGCTTTGGGCCACGCCTTCACAGTTTTGTTTCATGGAACTCATGAGCACTTCCTAGTAAGTCACCCATCCTAGGAATGCTTTCACCCGAACGCGCTTAGCTTTAGAGTTCCGATGGAATCCTAAGCCAGTGAGTTCCCAATAAGCTTCGTACTATATGGAGGTGGGCATGTACATATATGGCACATCACCCCTACTTCGTTGGTTGATGTGAGATGTTACAATCCACCCCCTTTATGAGCTCGACATCCTTGTCGGCACATTCGCACCAAACGGTAGAGTGGCTCTAACACCATTATGTCACATCTAGACCGGCTCTGTCTTAGCATGATATTGTCCACTTTGGGCCATGGCCACGCCCTAACGGTTTTGTTTATGGGAACTCACATGAAAACTTCAAAGTGGGTCAGCCATCTTAGGAATGCTCTCGCCCGAACTCACTCAACTTCAGAGTTTCGATGCAATCCGAAGCCAATGAGTTCCCAAAAAGCTTCTTGCTATATGGAGGTGGGCATGTACATATAAGGCACATCACTCCCTCTCCGTTGGTCGATGTAAGATGTTACAATCTACCTTATTTAAGGGGAACCCAACGTCTTCGCTAGCACATCCGTACCGAACGGCAGAGTGGCTCTCATACCATTTTGTCAAATCCTAGACCGGCTCTGCCGTAGCACTATATTGTCTGCTTTGGGCTATGCCCTCATGGTTTTATTTTTGGGTTTCGGCACGAGAACTTCATAGTGGGTCACCTATCCTAGGACCGTTCTCGCCCAAATTCACTTAACTATGGATTTCCTATGGAATCCGAAGCCAGTGAGCTCCCAAAAGGCCTCGTGCTATATAGAGGTGGACATGTACATATAAGGCTTATCACCCCCTCTTCGTTGGTCAATGTGGGATGTTACAATCCACCCCCTTTAGGGCCTCGATGTTCTTGTCGGTACCCTCGCACCACAAAGCAGAGTGGCTCTGATACCATTCTGTCACATCCCAGACCGGCTCCTCTATAACACGATATTATCCGCTTTGGGCTATACCCTCACAGTTTTATTTTTGGGTTTTAGCACCATAACTTCCTAGCGGGTCACCCATCCTAGGACCGCTCTCGCCCAAACTCACTTAACTTCGGAGTTCCCATGGAATCTGAAGCTAGTGAGCTCCTAAAAGGCCTCATGCTATATAGAGGTGGGCATGTACATATAAGGCACATCAACCCCTCTCTGTTTGTCGATGCGGGATGTTACAATCCGCCCCCTTAGGGGTTCAACGTTTTCA